ATGCCTTCAAGTGTCACCTCTCCCTCAAGTTTGCTTTGTTAGGTATTTTTATATACCACCACCCCAGGTACAAAGAGCTGTTGATTTTCAGCCAGTTCAGCCATATCTGGGAATGGGTTTGGTGGCTCATGGGAATGAGGTGAAATCCTTCTCAGCTCCTCCTCTTCAGGGAAAAAAGTGATCATTGAACTTTAAGGAAAAATAAAAAGGTGGTAGTGGACAAGGTGCTGACCTGACCCTCATCAGGCTCCCGGTTCTAACTGATAAGTAGTAGATATTACAGCTTGTTTGCAATCAAGTTACAAGCTTGTTTGCTGGTGGGCTGCAGGGAGAAGCACAGGAGTTGCTTCCCCAGGAGTGGGGAGGTTTGAGAAGAGCATGGGAAGCTCATGGGGCAGAGCTGCTGCCTTCTGGCAGCTGATGTGCGCGTGTGCAGGGTGTGATTTACCTGCAGCTACCAGTGTGGTGAGATCTGTGCAGGAGATACCCTGTGCTGCTGCTGCAGGGCCCTGGGCAGGTGCCTGCCGTGCTCAGCAGAACAGGCTATTAGTGTTTATTATGCCATATTGTTTAATTATGGCTTGGATGTGGCTGCCTCCTCTTGTTTTCTTCCTTGGCTTTGATTCTGTCCACTTGCTGAAACCAGGCTTGGCAGGATCTGCCTTTATTATTCTTGGGGGGCAGCAGCTTCTTTCTTGCTTTTCTTCCTTCTGCTCACAGGACCTTTTTTGCAGACTCTCTCCTAAAGTATGTTCTGTCCCTTTCTTCATTGAATAATGTCATGTTTATAACTGTCAGGAATAAAATATAACAGGGATATTTTGACCACACATTTACAAGCTGGCTTTCCAAAGCAGGTCTGAATTACAGGTGTGCAGGGATACAATGGCTGCAGCTTGCTGCTTGGACTCTGGACAGCAAGGCTCTTTGGGTATGTGATGCTGAAAATGTTGGCCTGTAGTGTAATATATGTATGTATCTCTATCTGCCTCTTTGCTTGTAGTTTGGTCTTAATGTGGCTCTGCCAAGGTGGTAGTGTCCCAGTTGTGCTGGGGCAGGTAGAGTGTGTGGAGCTGTGCCACGCTGTGCTGGAGATGGTGGTGCTGCTCTGGTTACACAGAGGTGATCAGTGCTGCAGGAAGAGTGCACGCTATGGCTATCGGCATGTATGTGTGTTTGTGTGGACTTGTGCTTTGTGCCACATCTTCCAGGAAGATTAATGGGTTGAGCAGCAGCTTCAAGTGACATAGCCAAGAGTGGTTACTGGATAAGCATTACTTTTGTCACTGTCTAATTATGTGATTATTTTAAAGGGAAGATTGGTGAGAGACAGTCAAGGACTGACTGTTTATTTATAATAGTAAAATCACTTAGAAATATAAGCTTCCCTTGCATGATACTCTTCATATTTGCCGCATGATGAGAATTTCAGGAGGGCACAGATACTTGGTTTCTGTCAGCCTCCTTCCTCACGAAGCTGAACACCTGCTTCTGGTATTTTCACCCAGTGAACTGCAGAATGGTGGTTTGGCACAGTACAAGTTCAGGAGGTGACTTTCAAGGTGGAAGTGTTTGTGTTGTCTGATGCAGAACCTTGGCTTGTGACCTCTTCCTCTGTGGTCAATCGTGATTTGGTTGCAGTGGTGGAGACTTTGATTAAAAATGTCCTCAAGGTACATTCTTCTCTCCAAAAATAGCACAGAGTCATCTGAAATGCTGTTTATTGTCTAGCATTTAGTCTGTAGCTTGTCGTAGCTGAGCAAATCGTTGCAAAACAATTGATAACAGAGTAGACAGTACTGAGTCCCTTTAGGGGATGTCTCACAATACAAAACCGCAAAACCTGTGGTGTTGCCTTGCTCAGCCAGGGAGCATTGTCCTTCCCTTCCTCACTAGTCCAGACCTGTAACCTCCTTTGAATTCAGCTCCTCTCCACTGCAGTTAGGACATGGTACCTACCTGGTATGCAGTGGTTCACAGGTTTTCTTGTTATTTAAACACTTGAAGGTTTCCATGCTCTGTAGCTGAACAGTACTTAGACCATATGTAGGGACTATGTCTGAAGTTCATTGTTCAGAAACCCTTGGCCTTTCCCTAGTTCACAAGAAAGCTGCCATTACTCCAGGGCTGAGGTTTTGGCCATTGGGCTGTATTAGCAGTTTGATCTTGGCACAAGAAATGTTAATTGTAACAGGAATTAAATTTCTTGTAATCTGACACAAGAAACACATGCTTTGGGTGTTGTAATTCTGGCATAATGGAGCACAGTTTGGAGAAAGAGACTTGCTGTACCTGGATATGCTGATAACTGCTGCTGTTCCTCTGCTAGTTGGTTTTGGGGGTTTTTTTATGTTAATGTTAACAAATTCTAAAACTCTTAGGGTCTTTTTTTCCCCCTCTGGAAATGTAAAAGGCATCTGTGGCCAGGTGGTGGGATCTGGGGAGAGAACAGTGCAAGGCAGTGACCTGCCGCAGTGTATCCTGTCACAAGGCTCTCCTTGGACATGGGAACATGGTGCTTCCTCGTCTGCCTCTGTGACCCACTGGTGGGGCCTGAGTGGTGAGTGGTGATGAGTCTGACCGCTGGTGCCAGGGAAGGGATTGCAAACTGGTGAGGAATGAGAATAGCAGTGACTGCTGAGGAGGAGGTGACTGTTTAAGCATTGTCTGAATAGTTTCCTGAAAGCCAGGTTTTCATCTAGCCCCTGTGTGGGGTATTGGAGGGTGATAAAGAGTTGATTTAAATGCAGACTTGCCTCTGGGCAGGACTGGTGGTGTCACTCTGGTGGGTCAGTGTGAATGGCTTTGGCAAAGCTACTATGCACTGCGATTGAGAGAATCAGATATAACTGACATGAGCCCATTAAAGCCTGGAATTGGAAAATGTGTTAAAAAAAAAAGAAGGCATTTTTGCAGGAAGAACAGAAGCTGTAAAAGGACCTTAAAAAAGGTGTGTGGGAGGGGAGGAGTGTTGCATCTGAAAGTGCATCTGCATTTTAAAAGCAGCAGCAAAGGCAGCACCTCTGGTTCCCATGCTCAGGGATGCCTGGTTTTGTTCCAGAAAGCTTGTGTCTGTGGTGCGGTGGAGGCACGCAGGCTGCAGCAGGGTGGTGGCAAAGTGAGGGGCTGCAGCCCCCTTCCCAGTGTTCCTTCATAGAATGGTTTGGGTTGGAAGGGACCTTAAAGCTCATCCAGCTCCAACCCCCTCCCATGGGAATGTACACCTTCCACCAGAGCAGCTTGCTCCAAGCCCCATCCAACCTGGCCTTGAACACTGCCAGGGATGGGGCAGCCACAGCTTCTCTGGGCACCCTGTGCCAGCGCCTCAGCACCCTCACAGGGAAGAATTTTGTCCTAATATCTTACCTCAATCTCTCCTCTCTCAGGTTCAAGCCATTCCTCTTGTCCTGTCCCTACAGGCCCTTGTCCACAAGCCCCTCTCCAGGTTTCCTGCAGCCCCTTTAGGTTTGGAAGCTGCTCTAAAGTCTCCCTGGAGCCTTCTCTTCACTCTCCCTGTTCCTGAGCTCCTGCTCAGCAGTAAGTTATTGTGTGGCTTTTGATGACTGAGTGAAAAGAATTCCAGCAATGTAGTCTGTAACATCATTACCTGCTTTTTCATGTAGCAGAGGAGTTTATCCTTTTGTATTTACTTCAACCACATGAAGAAAACCCATAAAACTCAACCTGAAGCTGAATATACGTTTTATTGGAGAGGTCTGTTGTGTTTTAGTTGCTAGGATGTTGAACTGTGAATTGCAAGAGACATGCCTCAGGAAGGGCGGTGAGCAGGATGGAGAAGCAAAGTGAGAAGGTGCGCATTTGTGGTATGACAGCTTTAATGAGGAGCATATTGCTAACGCTTATTGGCAAGAGTAATACCTGCAGCACTTCTTAGAGCTCTTAAAATGCTGAACCCAGCTGGGACATGTTGTCTGGTGCTGGTAAACAGGCAGATACTTCACAGCTGGGCACAGGGAATCCTGTATCCTGTGGAAACCTATTGTACCCCATCTTGGCTCAATTAGTCACAACATCAGTAAGCTCCTCAATCCTCTTCTTGGCAGAGGCCCTGCTGGTAGTGCAGCGTCCAGCCAAGGAGCTGTGTGCTCAGCAAACAGCACGGGATCTGCTCTCCACTCTTCCACAGCGAGACAGAAATGGCATTAAGCTGCGTTAGGATTTGTGTGTTGAAAGATTGTGACATTCCTGTGGTGGCTGTGCAGCCCTGGGAAGCTCTCACCTGTGTGACTGTTTCTGCAGAGCTGATACTTGTGAGTGGGTTTGAGAGGCAGGCTCAGTCTGTGTGCCCATCTGTCACCTAGAGGTGGGATGACTGCTGTTGTGCTGCCTTTCTCCTGCCCTGCAGCTTTGGGGCAGAGCAGTGGCAATTCTGCTAATATAAACCCAAAATTACAGCATAAGGGGTTTTTTCTCATTGTGCCGGCCTTGGGTTACAAACAGTTTGTGGTGAAGGTTTTTCTGGAGTACATCCGAGAAGCAGGGCAGTTGTTAGCTTGTATATACCAGGTTTCTCTCTCCTTTAGAACCATTAATACTTACTTTGCTGTTCTCATCACCTTCTTCCAGTCAGGAGTATTCAATTATCTCTTACTCTACTTTTACTGTACATTGCAACCTTTGAAATGAACTTTGCTTTGCTTTGAATGAAATTGGTGTTAGTAAAGTAAGGGGGGCTTTAAAGTCTTGCTCCAAATATTTACCTGCTCCAATGTGTGAAGTTTGAGCTCAGTCCTTTACCAGAAGGTCATGTTCCTTACTGAAGCTTAACAAAAAAAAACAGGTTTGTTTTGTTCTTTAAGGAGGATGGGGGGAACTGTTGTGTTTTGGAAGGTGTAGAAACCACTAAGGAAAATCAGGACTTGCTTTTTAATGTAAATGTATCTGGTGGCCCAATGTAACTGGCACCCAGGGGGGAGGCAAATCTCTCTGAAAGCATCTGGAGCTTTAGTGATTTCTTGTGTTCTGGTTTTTCCCCAAAGATCCAAGCCAAGAAGAAACCTACTCCAGTGAAGTATGAAGTTGGGGATCTTGTTTGGGCCAAGTTCAACAGGCGCCCATGGTGGCCATGCACAATTTGTCATGACCCAGTGCTGGACTGTCACTCAAAAATGAAAGGTACTGTATCTACTCAGACCACAAAGTGGAGGTGTTGTTTATGGCAGGTTGCTGCAGTTTTAAATTAAATTTCAAGGGCCAGAAATGCTTTTTTAAGGTATGAAGAAACAGAGTTTTCTATGGAAGACGTGAATCTAAAAAGTGGGCCTAAATCTGGGAGGAGACAGGAGGAAGGTGGGGCTGAGGCTGATGGAAGTGGCATGGATAGCTGTTGGACATGTAGACTTTTCTTCCCAGGGTAGCTGGGCAGAGCTTAAGGCAGTGCAGAAGAAAGAACAGCCTCTCAAGAAAAGGATGCAGAGAAAAGGAGGTGGATCAGAGAGGTGAGGACAGAGGTGCCCAGCGGGTGGAGAGGGAGAGCTGAAGTGGCTGGAGTGTGTGAGGACACAGTCGCCTAGGCTGGGGAATGGGAGGCTGGAGAGGCTGAGAAGCAGGGTGTGGGGTAGCACAGTGTAGCTGCTGAATGCCTGAAGGTGTGATGGGGAACATGTGTGGGGAAGTGGAATATTTTTGGTCTTGTTTGGCACAAGGAAGCAAGGGGCTGGAAATGTCAGGAAAACCTGGAGATGGAGCCACATGTGTGAAAGTTTAGGGCATAGTGTGTCGGGCTGAGAGCTGGCTGGGTGGAAGCGTTGGGGGAAATAAGACAGAGCTGTGTGTGCATGAGTGCCAGGAAGGAAGAGTGTTTTAACAAGTTCAAGGCAGAGAAGTGTAGGTTAGTGATGGAGAGAACAGAGGGGAAGTGATCGTGTCGCTTTTAGGATCATACAGCCTGCTGTGGGGAGACTGCCACACATTGAAAGGCTTGTTTATGTGTTCCTGGATTCCCCTTCAGATGCTTTTTGTTCTGTGGGCAACTGAAAGCCTTTGACCAGTGCTGTCTGCCACTGGCAGCTCTATACTGGTGAGGTTGCCACTCACTGATGTGTTTCTCTCCAGTTCTCGTGGTCCTTGTCAGCACTAAGAAGCAGGTGCTAAGAGCAAGTAGCCTTTTTTCCAAGTGGCCATCAGCTCAGAGCCCTCTATTTCTGTAGAGACATGATGTAGATTTTCCAGCGTTGTGCTCATGTCATGCCCAGGACTGTTGCTGCAGTTGTCTTGTTTTTCTTCCATCTTCCTGTTCATCCTGATTTTGGATAATACTGTATTTGCTATTTTAAATAGTTCCTTTCAAGCTCTCAAATTCCTGTCAAAAATGTTGCTGAAAGATAAGCCAGATGCATATTCGTTCCCCTCATCTCTCCCCATGAAGTTTTGGGCAGGATTTAATGTATATAGCTGTTCATTAATCCCCTCTCAGCCTGTGTATAAGGATTTCTAATAAAGGAATTTTGCAGGGAGGAAGCATGCTATTAACACGTTCCTGCAAGTTCTGATCTCCTGCTACATGATGGACATCGTGTTTTGTCCTTGTTCAAACCAACGGAGCTCTGAGGAAAATTGCATTTTCCAGTGGTGGCTGTATGGAATGTGCTTGTCTCCTCCCCCTGATGCCGAGATGGCAGAGCTGAACTCTGATTTTGGGCAGGGGGAGCTGCTGGGTAGGAAGCACAGTCCCACTGCCTTGTCTCTCCCGTTGCCAAGGGAACATGCCTTTCAAAACAAGACAGGTCACTTCAAACTCATCATTTGTGCAGAAACCTCTTCCCTTGGGTTTGAGGCATGGGATTTCATTTAAAGCAGTTTGCCTTCACTCAGGAAGCTCTTGACTGAAGATTTTGTGGAGCTGGAAGATGCAGGCTTAGTAGCTTGAGTTCAATACTGGGAATGGGACAAATTAAGTCTGTCATCTTTGCCCTTGGTTTGATGTTGCCCTGGTCATTATTTGTCATCCTCTCTGTGGTCTTGTCCAGAATCTTGGTGTCAGCATCACTAAAGGCCAGGCTGCTGTGCTGTGCTGGAAATCCTGGAAAAGGCAGCATAAACCAATGGTCTGTGAAATCTAGACTGCATGTTCAGAGGGTGAAGGTGTTCCCAGGAGAATGTGAAGCACACAGTGCAGTGAAATGCAGGCAGAAGTTTATATATCCCTTGTTCAAGCCTTGTTTGCTCTGTTCTAGTGCTTTTAACCTGTCCTTTTTCATCAGCACACCCAGTACTGGTTTTACCTGTACCCATGTCAGGTCAGCATTTTCAGACAGAAAGCACCTTTGTCAAATCTTTAGTTGTGCCCTTATGATTGAGTTTTGTGTGGAGGTACTCACTGAAACTAACATTCTGTCACGTTGCACCTAGTCCTTGTAGAGTGTGTGTATGTATGTGTGTACTGCTGTTAATACTTTATGTCCTAATAAGAGTGTGTTTGGTAACAAAGCATTGAACAAAATGGGATATATTGTGGTGGGGGAGGTTCAACCTGTATGAGTAAATCCTATCCAGAAGGATGTCATTTCTGGGTGTTGGCCAGCATACTGTTGTTTTCCCAATGGTCAAGTGGACTGGGCTGTTTAATCATTAATCAGGGAGTAGCAAGAAAGCAATGTCCTGCCTGATACATTGTGTGTCTTGGGCAAAAGAATATTTGGGTAGCTTTGCAATATTTTGCAGGCAAGCCTTTGCTCTGGGGAGATGACCCATCTTAAAACTGTTGAATCGATTGATTATAGGAAACATAAGCACAACTTGGAAACGGGGTGGCAACACAGACCATAGACAGCAGAGATCAAAGGCGTGTCCCTTAGCTCAGAGTGAAAATCCCCAGAATTCACATTCATGTGGGAATGTTATGAACCAAAAGTGGATGAAAATTAACTGACAAATGACTGGTTTTTGTGATTCTTTGTGTGTCTTTATTCTGTCATTTGCAAGGGGTTATTTCTGTTAAATTTCTCAATAGTTTCCAATCGGAGACCGTACCGAGAGTACTACGTGGATGCCTTAGGAGAGCCTTCAGAGAAAACCTGGGTTGCTGGGAAAGCTATTGTCCTCTTTGAAGGAAGACATCAATTTGAAGAGCTGCCTGTTCTTCGGAGAAGAGGAAAGCAGAAGGAAAAAGGCTACAAACATAAGGTGAAAGATCTGTTTTCTCTACTGTGTTTTTGATTCTTTGTATCTGCACAGTACAGAGTATTCCTTGATGCCAGGAACAGCACTTCAGCAGCTTTCTTCTGTGGCAGTGACTGCAGCATCACAGCCAGGGAAGTGGTTCTTTGCATCATTACAATGAGCAAAGTCCATAAGCTGCCAGGAGTTTCTAGGCACTCTTTTATATCGGGGTGTGACTTGCTGCTTTTACTGCCCCAGACAGGAGGAGTCAGTTCTTTGCTGGTGAGATGTGTTCAGTGGTGCAGCCCTCTCCTGATGTCTATTACAGCATGCTTCTAAATAACTTCCTGTGCTGTCTGGCAGCCTCTTTTGGCTGATGTGAAGCAGAGGTGGAGTTGCACGCTTCACTAGATCACTGACTGAGATAAAGCAGAAGGGTTTTTAGCCCTGCTTCAGTAATTCTCTTTATAGAAACCTGTTAGGACTTACAGTTTGACTTGGAAAACGCTTTGCCAGTGAGGTTCCAGCATTACTGAAAGAGAGCAAATAGGCAAATTAGGCCGTGTTGTCTGGTTTTTCTTTTTATCTTTTTCCAAGGGGTGTATGACCTGGGTCAGTGCAAACCCATCAGATTAAATGTGCTCTTGCAGATGTGAGTCCCTCGGTGTAATGCTCTCATTTGGTTTTCCTTTTCCAAGGGCATGCTCAGTATCTTCTCTGAGGACTTTTCTCCTTTCATTCCCAGCCCTTTATCAACTAGTTACATGCTCCCAAGTAACTTTTCTAGTCCTGGAAGTGCTGCATGGCGCGTATCTCACCCTAGAAGTATATGGTTAGGGTCTGTGGCTGCAGTAATCAATTGTTTGCATAATGTGCAAGTTTGCATTCCTGGAAGCCAGGATCTGGTACAAAGCTGAGAGGTTTTGACTTGGTTTGCTATCAGGCTCCATAAAACTTTTTTAATTTGCCAAGATGCAATTTTGTTGGTGTGGGGTTTTTTTTTAAGGAAAAGTGTCAGAAATTTGAGCTGTTCCTCATGCCTTGGAATTGGTTTTGATTTTGGGAGCAGTTGTGAAGCCTTTGATTTGCTGTTGTGCAGCCAAAACCTACATATACAAACAAGAAACAAGTTTCTTGCTGGTTTCATGATATTAGCGGAAATTCTTGTAGAGTATGCAGAGTGCTTTTTATTATATACTGAAAGGTAAAGAGTTAAAGCTGGGAGACTTCTCAGTAATGGACATCTTGAATTGGATAAGAGTACATTTTGACTCTGTGTAGATCTTGTGTTTGTAGCAAGGTGAGTTGATGGGGAGGGAAGCTAGAGTGCTCCAAGTCCAAGGGGTGAGTGCAGGCACAATCAAGAATGAGCAAAGCAGAGATGTCTGCTTAAATGTTTTGGGGAAAATTATGGTGCGTTCACCTTGAGAAGCTTGTTGGCTGTTGCTCTGTGTTTCTGTGCCAGGGATCCATACCATATGTGTTCCCCTTTACAAGCTATTGTGTTCGGGGTGTGCTGGGATGCCAGGACATCTGGCTCCTGGGAGACCTGTGCTTGCAGGGACCTTTTTGCTGGTTTGGGAGTGCACAGGGATTTCTGTTAGGGTCAGCAGGAGTGCAGGATGCTTGCCCAGGAGCAGTATTTTCTGTGTCTGCAAGGCATAGGCTGGGAATCCACGTGATTGTCTTAAGGATGCAAAATGCAGGGCTGTCACTCTGTTCTGTGCCTTGTGTACCTTGATCTCACTTTTATCTTGTTGCTTACACACTCAAAATTGTTTTTCTTTCTCTTTTTGTTTCCTCTGACTTGAAGGTTCCTCAAAGATTTATGGCTAAATGGGAGAGCAGTGTTGGACAGGCAGAAGACATTCTTCTTGGAGGGCCAGAAGATCAGAAGTCCAGCCAGAACTCCAGCGAGCTGGACAGTGAGAAGGAAGTGCAGTTGGAATATTATACCAATGGCCCTGGAGCTGAAGGGGACAGGCAGCTCAATGGCTGTTTTAAGTCCTTGACTTTAGACTCCAGACACCCAGTCAGGGAAAAAGGAAAACTACACATTAAGCCACACATGAAAAAAGGCTCTGACAGCAGAAAAAGGACTAGAGTAAAAAAGAGTGGTGCAAGAGGGGAAGCTTCTGCTGGAGAACTCAAAGAGAAAACAACAGAGAGCTTAGTTAGAAACATGATGATTGGGGACCTACCAGACAAACACGCGTCTCACGAGCTTCGCCGGATTGCCAACAGTTTAACAGACTCCAGTAGCACCAGGGAGAACCATTTGCTTTCCTCCTTTGGAGAAAGACGTTTTGAAAAGACAGCTTTGAAACCGGACTATGAGAATTGTAAAAGTGATGCTCTGAAGAACAATCTCCAAGGGGATTTGTTTTCAAGCGCGTCTTTGGAAAGGGAAAAGAGCTCCCTGGGCATTTTGTGCAGTTCCAAATTGCAGATACACTATTCTGCATCTGATGCTGGTATTGAGAAAAAACAGACTGAATCTGATTCATCCTCTTCCCTCTCAGATGGTGGGAACAGTGACGTAGATACCATGGACCAAAGTTCAGAGAGAGCTTCTAGTGCTCTTGAAGTTAGTGATTCTTCAGATAAGGTGGAGAAGGAATTTCCTATGACGTCAAGTGGAAACATCAAGCTTTCCATGTATCTTTCTCAGAAGAGCAACAGAAGGGCCAGGAAGAAATCGCACAGAGACCGCAAATCTCTGGGCGGTTCAGTAATCAGCAGACTTGATGCTGAGTTTGCAGATGGGGAGCTTGAAGTGGGCTTCTCTGATGCTGAGATGTCATTGACAGCTCTTGAGTGCTCTTCAGATGTGAGAAATGACAATCTTTCCCCAGCAAACAAGCACACTACTCCTCAAAGTGTTTCCAAGGACAGCTCCTGGCCTGCTGTTGAAAATCAAGCAATCTTAAAACCGAAAAGCACGAAACTGTCCCGAATCAGGAGTATAAAATGCAAACATAAAGAAAAAGTTGCTGGGTTGGAGCCTCTTCTTGCAGAAGAGGAGGGTGGTGCGAATCGCTGCTCTTCTGATACCAAAGGTTTATCTGGCCTTCAGAGAGATTCTCTTCAGAGCAGCGGAAAAGCTGATGGTCAGAAACTGTTAAACAACACGCATGAGAAACCCAGGGATTCTGCTGAAATAGAAACAGCCGTGGTGAAACACGTCTTGTCAGAGCTGAAGGAGCTGTCTTACCGGTCCATGAACGATGATGCCAGTGACTCTGGCACTCCAAAGGCCTCAGTACCTTTACTTTTCTCTTCTGCCTCTGGTCATGGTCGTTTGCCTATTGAGCCAGACTACAAATTCAGCACCTTGTTAATGATGTTGAAGGATATGCATGACAGTAAGACGAAAGAGCAGCAACTGATGACTGGTCAAAATATAGTTCCGTTTCGAAATACCAGCACAGCTGATGGTTCTGGAAGCAATTCTGCGAGTGGTCTGAAGTCCTTGTCTATTGTAGGTCCCTCATATAAAATCGAAAAAAATGGAGATTGTGTCCAGGAAACAGTAAATCCAAACTCGGCTCTAAGCAACTCCTCATTTTCACGCAGTCCTCCAACCAAGTTGACGGGGATTGGTGCTGGTAAAAGGGAGCCCGCGAGTACTGCTGTTTCGGGGACAAAAGGCACCAATTGTGTGTCCAAACGCAACTGTTCAAAATCTAAGCAGTCATCAAAGCTTGGAGATAAAACAGTTTCAAACAGAAAGGACTTAAAACCAGGAGGGCCAAGTAAGTTACTAAGTCGGTTATCCAGAGGTTCAGGAGAACGTGCATTCCGCGTTCACGGTTCGGTTACCAGTCCTCTAGGTAATGGAGCAGAAGATACTGAGAGGAAACAGTCAACAGAGTCTGTTGGTTTAAGAGAACATTCAACTGATGAAGACTCTGCCTGTTTATCTGATGACAATTTAGATCGTATTGGAAGGAGACCTGAAGCTGGTAGAAATATTGAGAGCTGCATTTCTACTGCAAATGGGGAGAGTCCAGACTTGGATTCAGAGGCAAATAGTGAGAGCTCTCTTGGTGATGAGTCTAATGATGTAAATCACGTAGCACCCAAAAAGCGATGGCAGCGTTTTAACCAAAGCAGTGCTAGATCTAATAAGCACACCAGTAGATCTAGGGAACAAGGAAACTTGGAGAGTGCCTTTGGCCTGAATTCTCGTGGCTTTTCACGGAAGGGAAATGAGTGCTTGGGACGTAGGCATTCCCCTCATACAAAGGTGCTTGAGGGAGACCTTGCAGATCAGGACTGTAAGAATCATTTAGACTTAGCTGAGAAACGTTTGAATGTATGTGGTAAGCCAAACAACAGTGTGATGGACTCAGAAACAGAGCTTGGCAACTTTGCTCCCCAGTCTGAATTCTCTGCACAAGGTAAGGGAGCTGGACTTGCACCAGAGTGTGTATGTGTATACATTTAATACTTTCTCATTTAAAGCATAAGTTATGGAATTTGGGACTGTTTGGAGATGTACACTTTCTGAGCTGAAGAAAGTGTGGTATGTTGGTTTGGGGTTCTCTGTAAGCACGGAGAACAAAGAAGGCAGAGCAGTTATGGGATTTTGCTTAGCTTTTTTCCATCAGACAGCTTAAGTACATTACAAATTATTAGTTCCTCCACAGTGCAAGGTGAAATAAACATCCCTCCAAATTTGGGAATTCTTATAAATTTATACCTTCATAACATGTTCCTTAGAGCTGTGTGCTTGGTGTTAACTGATAGGTCAGTGCTAGAAAGTGTTGGGAAACTGAGCCTCAGTGGCTGCTCTGACTTAACAGTGCTCTTTGCTTTGTTTTGTAGCATTTTTGGTGTTTTAGTGTGGAATTTTAGCTGCTAATAATGAATTGGGGAGCCCCACAAATTGCCTTATTCACAGCTCTGGTGTGGTTGTCTGGCTAGTGAAGGAGAGAATGGAAGAAGGGGAAGTTTCAGGGAGGCTGGGCTGGAGGCAGGCAGAAGGCAGCATTATTGAAAGGGAAATGACCTAGGAAGGAGGAGGCTTCTGAGGACTACCCCCAAAACAAACAAAATGCCAAAGGGTGGGTGTGTGTAAGGAACAGGTCCAGCAGAACAACAATAAGATGAATATTTTATGTAGATTTCACCAAACTAAATTGCTCTAATCTGGTTGTAATAGCGTGAATTAATACAACTTGATGGGATTTTGAACCTGTGTGCTTCCTGTCACTTAGGTGTTCCCTCAGTGCACATTTTGGTGTGTGCATTTTGCTATTAGTGGTTGTAGGAGGTTGCCTGCACCTCTATTTCGGTGTGGAAAAGGCAGCTCCTGGCATAGTAGTTGTAGGACCTGCCCAAGGCAAGTCATAGCAGGCACAGAAAATGAGCCCGTAGGGTGTAACACATAGGTAGAAGTTCTGGTTTGAAGTCATGACCAGCTTAATCATTCCTGACTGCTGTGGCTGGGTGGTTTGGAGGACTTAATCTTCACAGAGGAGGTGAGAGGATGCACATTGTTCTGGGGCTGTGAGGGCTCTGCCACAGGAGTGTCACAGCCCGTGGAGGGAGCGAGTTCCTCATTTGCACCAAGAGGCAGCCAGGTTCTCATAGCTTCAGGTGGTTTCACTATTGAAGGTCCCCTGTAATGTTGCTGTATGAGGTGAAGATGCAAGTCTGCAGAGAGAGCCAGAGAAGAACTGCTAAGAAGTAGTAATGTTAGGAGAGGAAGGAGCAGGCTCTTGGGTAAGGTGGCATTGGTGGAGAGCAGCACAGAGCTGTCCTGGTGCTTCATGGAGGGATGCAGTGACAGTGAGGGCCTGGGTTTGCTTGCAAAAGTGGCAGATCAACTGCAGTGTAACCTAATTCCAGTGCTCCAAATAGCACTGGAGTGCCTTGAAGCACATCTGAAGCTTACCGATGCAGATGTGCCATAGGGAGGCACAGGAGATGTGTGAGGAGCTGTCTGGACTGCAGTAACATTCCCAGTGTGCTGGTGGGAGTGAGTAAATCTCTAATGCTGTGGAAACCAGTCTTGCTTTTCTATCAGCCAAGGTCAGTTACACAGTAGAACAATGCTGGAAATCAGACTAACTGCATCTTACAGAAGACACTTGCTCTGCCAGTGCTTAGAGAAGACGTGGCTAATCCTTGTCTGCAGCAGGCAGAGTGTCAGTGTAAGAAATCACAACAGATTGCAGTTACAACTGTCTTAATTTCCACTAAGCTCAAACTATGACTTCATCATCATAGCTGAATAGTGACATTTGGCATATTTTTAGTCCAAGCTTTGCAATGTGGTTGAGTGCAAATCAGGCAGAAGTGAAAATTTGGACAAATTGGCTGATGTAAACCGTTTTTATAACTAATGGTTCTGTCAGGTGTGTGATTTGGCAATGCCAGTCAGACTGCCCTTGGGATTCTTGTACATGACTTGCTAGGGGAGAAAAAGGCAGCTAAGCCAGCCCTCCTGGCGCAGTGCAGTGTGCTCTGCTGCGTGGCTTCAGGGCTCTGAATAGTTTCCCAGTGAGGATCCTCATCCTATAGCTGTGTTATGTGAAATGTGTATTTCATCCAGACACCTGTGCAGAGCGTTGCTAGAGGTTGAAAATAGCTGTGTTTGAGAAGGTTGTTCCTTCTCTTTTGGCCAAGTTTGACTATTATATGGTTGTTCAACCACAAAGCCACAATAAAGTGTAGCAATCTCATCCAACATCCCTGTTCTGAAGTGTTGCACTGGAATGCGTTGGTATAAAATCCTTCTGTTTTAAAGATGAAAAAGGCACACCTCCTACATGTGAAAAGAAGCAAAGAGAAAATTTACTGTTTGTTCCTAAACTTCCAGGAGAGACCACAAATGTTTTTGTGACTAGAAGAAATCTTCTGACAATACAAAAAAGAAGGAAAGTCTGCGGGATTTCAGGATGTGAGGAAAAGACATAAATTTGCATCATCTTTCTTTTGCAGCTTGCTGAGTAGCGGTGACACAGAGCATCAGGGCTCTCTTTTTGGAGCTTGCTCTGTGCCGGGTTGTTGAGATGGTGCAGCATGGGTGGTTAGGTTTGTGTTGAGGAAATAAAGACCTGCTACTGGGTTTTCCTTTGCAGTGGTGCATCATTGTGCAAACTCAGATGCGGGAGCCCTGAAGAGCTTTCAATTGCTGGCAAGGACTGCTTGCTCCCTGATCTCATTGTGGAACCTATTGTTGGAAAGCAAAGGCAATAACTGGGCTGGCAGCAGCAGATGGGGAATACAAGGCTCTTTGTAGTATGTAAGGGAGGAGGGGAAGGGAAGGAGTTACGAGTGAAACTAGTGACTGAGCTGTGGGATGGGAAAACAGTGCTTTCCTGTGTCCCTGCTCTAAACCCAAAGGAGTTTGGGTTAACAGCAAAGTAACATGATGAGTCTTGAGTAGCTAATGGTCTTAGGTTTCGGTAAAAGTACTGCAAGAAGGTTGGACGTAGTTTGTTTAGGGAGATGGTGGGTGAAATGCCAGGATTCTCTCAGATATCTGTTCTTCTGCTTGCTTATCTGAACTGCATGAAGTCCTAGGTCCTTAAAAACCCCACCTGCCAGCTCAGGGTTGTGGAAAATAGCTCAACAATTATAAGGCTGTATCAGTGAAACAAGGACCAGGGCTCTTCCCACATTGAGCCCCTGGAAGGGAGGGCAGAAACAACTAATATTTAGAGATCATGAGGATCATTTTGTCTTACGATCACCTCAGAAACAAAGTCTTGAAGCTGCTTTCCTTTCTCTTAGTACATTCAGAGAGGAAACGCCTTAGAAAGCCAAGTAAACGGCTTCTGGAATATGCAGAAGAATATGATCACTTATTTGCACCCAAGAAAAAATCAAAGAAGGGCCAGGAGCAAGCGCAAAAGGTGGGTGAAGGCCAACGTGCTCTTCATGGTTATTGCTCTGGGGCTCCGGTCGGTGTGCTTTTGATGCATTCTTGCTGGCTGAGTGTTCTTGCTGTGTGTGGTGCTGTGCAGGAGGAATGTTTTCACCAACGTGTTTCACTATGCTAGGTGAACTCTGTGGTGAGGTCTGAGTTTGAAGGAGGTCTTCCTGCACAGTGCAGTCCTGACAGAGCTACCCAGCGGGGGCCCAGTCCTTTGGTTTCAACTCCATCTTCAACCAAAGAGTCCCCTCCCATCCTTGAAGCAGAGTGCTCCTTATCAGAACTAGGATCCCAGTCCACTAATCCCACTGATCAACTTCTAGAAGGACCTTCAGAATCTCTGGAGCTGGTGCTGTGTTCCTCAGATGCTTCTGAAGTTTCTGCTTCTCCAGATGCAGAAGAGAGATTTGTGAAATCAGGTAAGTGGGCGGCGGTGTGACTGTGCTCCCACAAATGAGTAATATCACAAGTTCAGCAGAAATTGTTGCTTCAGTCAGTGTGAAAAGGTTCGTAGGTGTTGATCAGTTAGTTTGGTTTTGCTTTGCTGCGTTCATTCACTGCTGGTTCTGGAATGGGTGAGAGGGCAGAAACAGTGGGTGGCCCAGTGAGCTGAATGATTACACTTATGCTAATAGCTTTCTATAGTGTGTCTTCCTTAGGTCCTGGCAGGGAATACTGCTTTGTCCAGAAGAAGAAAGTCACAGCTCCTTCTCTTGAGTCCTTTCCATGCAAACAGTGGCACTTATTTAGCTTGAAGGTCTCTTGCTGCTGTTAAAACCTCTTGGATGAACGTTGCTGTGCTGAGGTTTCTGTGCAGTCTAATCTGCAGAGCTCATGGGGTGGCATTTTGTTCTAATGAACTCCAGGAATTGTGGCAGAGAAATCCCTCTGGAATTTTTTCTGGAAGACATTTTTTCCTTTCTTTCTAAGAAAAATTGCTGTAGAAATTGTTGGAGACTTGTGGTAGAAGCAAGCCAGGGCCTTGGCTTTCAGTAAGGCACAGTATACAAAGAGTGAGTGTTGTCTGATGGGCTTTTCCCTATTCCAGAAGAGTCAGTATTAGGGTCTACTTTGCAGTGCATTCATTCTCTGGTAGCATCTGAAGGCATGTCCAGGGTTAAAACCCTGGTGTTCTATCTGTGCTAACTTGGAGGCAACACTGTTTGTGTTCTAAAGGGCCTATGGTCAGTCAGAAACACGAAACCTGGCAGAAAGATACAGTCACTGGGAGGTCAGCCTGTTACGTTTGAGGGGAGAGGGATTGCCTTTGGGGGCTTGTGGGTGTGAGATGGAAATGGAAAGTTGCAGAGGATTTAAGGAAGACAAACTGGGGATGTGAACCTCAGGTTGGAGGTGCAGGAGAACAGTACAGGGTGCAGTGGTGGAAACAGACATCCAATGTGCAGAGGTTGCTTGGCTCTGAGAAAACTTGCCTCTTGCCTGAGGCACGTGGAGCCCAAGCTCTGTGTTGGCAGAGTCTTGCTTTGAGGATGATGCCGTGGTGCTCTGTTCATCAGGTGTCTGATGCATAAGCGTTGTCATGGAAAGGACACAGCCAAGGCTGATAAAGCAAGCAGATGAACAGGGTGGGATGGGTAGCAGGCTGTTTCTGTGGAGTGTCTTACACTCATAGCTTCATTTTGTTGGTCGTTCTAAGTCTATACTGTTACCAAAATCAGTGTGGATGAGCCTAGGTCCAGCAATTTATTACCTCCTGAGTGCCAGCAAAAAGCCTGAGTAGGAAGTGGTGCAGGTTACAGCTAGTTTGTTTGGGGTGTCTTTTTCCAGGTACTTCTAACCAGAAGCATGTCCTTTAGCCTGTTTACTATGTGCAGCATGAATGCTGGTGTGAGTAGCGTGGGAGTGGAGGCAGGGCTGATTTGTCAGTGGTAGGACTGGTTTATGCCAGATCAAAGTGATTGGGAAGTCGTGGTCTGAATTGTGCTGCCAGGACGGGTTACCTGCTGGCATTGACTCTTCTGTGGGTGGATTTTCGTATTGCATATTGAGGTTTGCCTGAAGGTCATGGCAGACTGAGGTCCATTTCTCTGGAAGTTGTATAGAAACAGTTGGTTGGCATCTCTGCCCAAGGAGCTTACGGTCACAAAGACAGGATGAAGTTGATTGTTTTGAACTGTTGGCTGATGCTTGGTTAATGGTTTAGTCTGAAGGTAAGAAAACCCCTGTTTATCTGATGTGAAGAGTTTCATTTCAGGAAACTTCGAAAGCAAGCGTCAGAGGAAGCCCACCAAAAAGCTCTTGGAATCCAATGATTTGGACACTGCCTTTATGCCAAAGAAGGAGGAGTGGACTCCCCCAAAGAAGGTACTTTCCTTCCAGCTCTTTTGAAAACCAGATAGAAAACAAGCCTAGACAGCAGACCCTGCTGAATGAGACACAGTGCAATGGGCTGTGGGTTTTTTGTTGGCTGTGGCCCAGGAGCAAGGGTCCACCCTTCTCAAAGCTGCTGGTTGCTGTGTTATGATGAAGAAATCTGCTGAACATAGATGTGTTCCCCACCCCTCCCCACTTGTACTGGCGATGGGATAGTCTTGGCTGTAAAATCTTTTCTCTTCATTAATTTATATGGAAAAAGAGTCATCTGGATGCTGGCCGGGAAGGTGTGAGCAGAAATGTTCTGTGCAGAGGCTTTCTGTCACTGTTATGTTGTGGTGCAGCTTGAACTTGAACTTAAGGCTTTGTCCTTTTCCATCAGATTTCCTCTGAACAGCGTTTCTTTTGTTACCTTCCCAGGTGAACTGGTGAGTGGTGTGTAAGTGCAGAGCTTGTAGCAGGATAGAGGCTTGAGTTGTATTACATGTAGCATATGGTGCTTGGTGCAGATTCTTAAAGAAAATGCCTTTTTTCTCCACAAAACACCTGATATTCAGTGCCATGGCTTGGAAAAAAAGTACCTTACAAAGAACGATTTCAGGTGGAGTCTCTGTGTAAGACTTGTGGCTATAGTTTCTAAGGTTGATTAATAGCCATTTTCCTCCTTTTTCTCTCTGTGTGGCACAGCCTTAATACAGTTATCATGGTTGTAGAAATGGAGAGGCTGGTGTATTCCAGTCTTAAGCTCCATAACAGTGTAAAACCAGAAGAGATTGTCTCTTCTCAGCAGCTTACAGGGTGTTAGCAGCCTTCCTGGGAGAGTCCAGAAATCAGTGGATGATGCTTGGGGGCACAATACAGAGCAGACTCAGCATTCTTCTCCCTGCCCAGAGGCTGACTTTTCCATGTGGGATCTATCGCATACACTAAACAAATGTTTTCTTGTAGTAAAGTCTCTAATGACTGATGAATTTGTGACCTGAGCCATAAGTTACATGTTGCAGTTGTTCATAAGGGCTTTGAATGGCTGATGAGCCTGCATCTCTGATTTGCATCTGGTAACTTGACTCTGTTGTGCGCTTGCAGGGTACTGGCCTTTCAGAGAGCGACAGCTCTGAGCTCTACTCACCAGCCCACTTGTCAGACCTGGGAGAAGGTAAGGGAAGACTGTTGGTGACATGTGGGAGGAGGTAGTTACCCGTGTTTGATTAGCTTTGTGTAAGCTTTTTGTTGGTAGTGTTTCTTCTTTCATGGTGGGAAAGTCAGTGATACTGTTCAGCAGCTTAGCAAAAGAAGCTAAAACCAGTGTGAATCGGTGGTCCTCTGATGGTAGCAGGAGAGAGGGCAGGCTGACTGCAGGCTGGTATTACCCCAGCCCTTATGCCTTCAAAGACATCAGGATCCAGCCTGAAGCTTTTAAAAAGGGTGTAAAACTTGCCGGTGGCACCTGCAGCAAGGGAATAATTTCTGCATTTTCCTTGACTGTTTTTTCCCTTGCATCCATCCCAGCTTCTGAAAAACTCTTGGAGAAGCAGCGGAAGCGGAAGAGACAGCGCCATACATCTACTGCAACGCATTCCAAGAAGGAGAGAAATGAGGAGGGGCAGGGGGAGACCCCACACTCTGAGGTACTGTTGTGTCTTCCTACACACTGTCATCTCTGTAACCTGTCTGCTGCTTCCCAGGGCACTTTGCAGAGCCTAGGCCAGTGTATCTTTGTCTGGGTGGTGTGTCTGTTGGGAGTTACCCACTGATGTACTTGCATGAGTGGGGATTGAAGCTGAAGATACCAACTTGAGTCAGTAGCTATTTTGTGATGACTGTTTAACTCGAGCTCAGTTTTTAAGCTGCTGCTCAGCTGATTCTCCTGGAGAGAGTCTGTTCTGTTCTGGTGGAACCAGGGTTAGCCTGGCATCTTGCTCTGCACCTCAGAAGGTCTAACTGCTGTAAAAGGTCTTCTCTGGTGGTGGTGGTGGGAATCTTTCCCACACCAGTATGACGCACAAGCCCTAGGCTGTGGACTTCCACCCCTCCTTCTGCTTGTACCCGCATGGCAGGGTGAGCTAAGGAGCACATTGGAGGGGGTGGATGGACCTGTCTGTGACTGCTCACAGAAGCCTCTGATTACATTCTGCCATCTAGCAGAAGGGGATAACTGGGGCAACTCCCTTTTACTGCATCCCAGTAGAGTTGGCATACAAATATCTCTGACAAGCACGTTTTGCCTTTTAGGAATGAGCCAGGTGTAGGGGAAGCAAGACTTTTCCTGGGAGAGGCAGGACACCTCTGGGCCTCTCGCCATCGCCTCTCACTTCCAGTGGCCCAAGTTCAGGAGCAGGCTGTTCTGTCAGGATAGTCAGTATGTATTTCAGGAGCCAATTATAGACATACATTGTTCTATTTGTTGTTGTAATACAGCTTCCAGGAGAGCACAAACCTCACACCCCTTAAAGACATGCCAACCACCCTGCTGCTACTGCTTTCTGAAGAGGTTGTTTCTGTTGGGGTAATACCCCTGGGCTCTGCAAGCCCTCCTGTGATGGTGTTAGTGCTCTTGCTGAAGTATGCTCATCTGGAAGCATGTGTCAAAGAAGCTTGTACAAATATCTTTGCCAGTGCTTGGAGGGGGCAGTTAACACTGTCTGGTGTTAGGTACCCACTAAGAGACAGCACATTCTCTGTGAATCTTTTGTAGGGGAGATGCAGAGCTGCAAAGTAGTTAGGCCATGGCTCTGAATACTGCACCCACCATTCACTGCAGGGGAAGCCCAGGGAGTCTTAACTGCCTCCAGCCTTAGATATCTATGTTGAATACCTGAAGTTAGGTATGGTAAACCATGCCAGAAATAAAAGGCAATGCTTGGCACCTTTTGCCAGCATCCATTTCTCTGTGGTTGTCACTTGAGCCACTGTGGTGGGTGTTCACCCCTTGGCTTAGGTGGGTGCATGGGTACTGGTGAGTATTGGGGTGCTGTGGAGATGCAATTGTGCTTTCATGTGGAATTCAGACCAAGCTGCTCCGTTAAGTGGCTTTCCACACATCAGACAAGGTACTCCACTCTGTGCTGAACAGTGGTGCTAGAAGAAATATATGCGGTCTGATGATGCAGCACAGTGAAGCCTTGGATCCACCTGCTCTCAGAGGAAAAGAGGGCATAGGAAAGCATGTCCGCCTGGGCTGAACTAAGCAGCTTTCTCTGTCCTTGCTTCTCTGTGGAGCCAGGAGTGCAAGTTTTACAACATCAGGGCAGCAAGAGACTGAGAGAAGGGAATGGAAAATGCTGTTGAAATGATTGTCAAGGTTGTGAGCCAAGGTCAGGCTGTGTCAAAGAACAGGCATTTTGAGGATGTGCCAGATACAGCTGCAAGAAGTAGCTCTGGAAGACGACCCAGGATAAGAGACCTGCCCTCTGTAGGAGGTAGGTAGTTTTGCAGTACTTACGCTGGGTAGAGGAAGGAAGGGGAGCAGTGTGACAGGTCTTTTGAGTGATGGCCTTGAATGGCAATCCACTTCTCCATGTTCACAAAGCACAAGTATCTGGCCTTGCCAGTCCCACCTACCTCTGACATTCCCTTCCCTGTGTGGTTCTGGGAGCACTGAGGCTAAGATCCTGGCATGTGAAACGTGCAGACTGGCCAGCAGTTTGCAGAACCAGAGAGGATGGGTTTAGGCTGAAAGAGCAGGGCTAGAGCATGCTGTGCCACACTGAGCAGCATGGGCAGTTAAGACAGCATCGCTGCTGGCAGATCCTTTCAGATCTGAAGAGGGAGTTGCTGTTGTATGACTCCTAGATACATTTTAGTTTCCCATTCCATTAACATGTGAAATGTGGCTATCAGGGTTCAAACCAAGGTGTCCTAACAGCTGTGGTAGAAAGCAGCCAGAAGGATGGAAAGGTGAACCAGTCCTAAATCCCTCGTACCTCCATCTGCAGTGAATCTGTGTGTGTGTGTCCTGCTTCCAAAACACTATTCTGAAACCTTAGTTACAGCAGGAAGCCAGTGCCACTGACCACAGGACGGGTGGTGCTTGTTTACCAGCACCCTGCCTCTCCTGAGCAGGGACCCTGGGGACCACAAGAGGGGTGATACCACTTTGTGTCTGTAACACTGGGGCCCCAGCCTAAGCAGAAGCTGTAGCTGACATTGTTTGCCCATTCCAGTAGCTGATTAACCCTGCTCTTGTTCTTCATTACAGTGACCCCTGCAACCCTGAGGTCACTGCTGAGCTGAGTGGAAGAGGGAGCACCTATGTAGGAATAGGAGTACCTGAGCTGTAACCAGTCCTTGGAGCACCAGTGGCTGGTGTGCAGCTCCTGGAGCATTCCAGGAGCCAAAGCAAGCGTTTGGGCCAGAGGGTTGCCTTGCTGCAGACCTCGTAATTCCCAGCAGAAATAGAGCTGCAAGAGCAGAAGTATCATAGCAGTTAGCTTGAGAAGATGCTATTGTGTGTAGAGGCAAAGGTGGCTGTTGTGGTTTTAGATGGTCTTTTTACCAATGCCATAGAGACGTTTCCCTTCCCTTTGCCAGGGCTGTGTGGTAGGGTGGCAGCAGCTTATGTGCTCATTATCAGTATCCCACAGGCTGCATCACTGCCAGCTTTCCAGTGAGACTGTGATGATAGGCTGTACACTGTATGGGATGTTGGACTGGCAGTAGTTCATAGCTGGGGCTTTGCTCTTTTTGTGCTCAATAAAGGCAATTTATAACATTTATCTTTGTATTGTGTGCTTTAATATACTGCCTGTGCACCTGTGCATCACTGCTCCACATGGCTTTAAAATATCCCCAAGTAAAACATACTGCTTTATTCAGGGGAAACAAGCAAAACCGACCAGCAAAATAAAGCACCAGGCAAAAGAGGCATCATTATCTGCCTAGAATACCAGCTCCAGGTTCTTCTTGCTTTAAACTTTGGGAGGTCCTTATGCCCTTATTTTTCACAGGATAATCATTTAGAGGGCATTCAGCTTACCTTACAAGCTTTAGTAGCACCACAACTCAGACTGATGTTGTCCCATACTGAAACTAGTGCAAAACTCCCTCATAATGGTTAGCTGAACATCTGCCACCAAGCAGGCTTGAAAGTATGAGAGTGGTGGCTGCTGCTCCTGCAGCACTTTGAATTCCTCACAAGGTCTTTCAGTTGTACAACAGACAGTTGGCATGGCTTGGTGACCCAGGGAGGAGCTGGCAGCTGCACACCGAGATCACTCAGCTAACTGCAGTGAGCTGGGGTGTTGAAAAAATGGCAGAGTCCTTAAAATGTTCCTGCTCAAAGCACTTGGCTAAAGGCATCCCTTTGGTGCAGCATCAGTGGCCCTTAAGGCGTACTAAGACATGCTGATGTGTTGCCTAGGCTGTACCAGAGGGGTCTGGAAGTTGGTGGGATCATGCTTCTTAGCTCTTGATTGCCTGTCCTGAGAAAGCAGAAGGCAGGGTTGCAGTATTTTGTAGTCGATCTTTAGGATACCTATTGCTCTCCTTCAGCTAACAGCATCTGAGCAGGTCCTATGAACACATTGGAAGGTGTCCTTTGACGTTGGGGTGCCTGTTGACTTTGCCTGTGAAGGTGAAGTTGGCCTTATCTTCGGAAGCTCATGTTCCTAGCAGGATGCTCTTTCACCTGCAGCTAGCCAGCGCTGTGATGCACGTACAGGACAGATGCTTATGAAAGACTCACAGGCAGGGTGGTGGTGTAAGTGCTCTCCTGCACTGTTCACTTTGATGTTGACCAGCTGGTTCTTGCTAACACAGGCACTTGAGTACTTCTGTGCCTCTATTTTACATGGAAGTAAAACGTACGGAGACAAAGGGGGGGAATGTCTGGCTCATTTGCTGGGTGCCAGCTGCAATAAAGTTTTTCATTTGCATTTCCAGTGCATGCAGGATGCTTCAAACTATCCCAGCTTGCCTCATTTGTTCCTATGCAGGGCAATACCTTTTTTCCCTCAGCCATGACTCTTTCCTCAGAGGGGGGATTATGCACAGAAAAGTAATTGTGTTGAGTATGTGGTTTTTTAATGATGTAGTAATTTAAGAGTTCTTTCTTTTCTTGTCTTTTGGTGGAACTATATGGGGGATGTCCTCTCCAGGGTGGGTAACATACAGACTAACTGTTAAGTGCCTAATGGCTGAATTTGTCATTTCCAAGTGGGCAGGACCCACTGACATCCCTAATTCTGGGTTTCTTTTTAAAGGGGGAGACATCAGTTCATGGGACTGCTGCTAGCCCCAAAGAGGGAAATGAAGAGGGGTCAGAGAACGACCATGGCGTGCCTTCATCTAAAAAGATGCAGGGGGAGCGTGGAGGAGGAGCAGCTCTCAAGGAGAACGTGTGTCAGGTAGTGTCCTTGAAGAAATCTCTTTGAAGCTTTACCACTCTAAAGTGGTTTTGTGCAAGTTCTGGAGCATACCTGGGCTTATCTGGTCCAGATAAGCCCAGGTAGCCTCAAGGTGCTTTTGGAGGATTAACCAGCTCTTTATCCTCCGAATTGAGCCTTTTCTCTGCAATTTGCTGCCCTCCTGCTGAAGTTCACAGATTTTTAGGGAGATGTGACCAACATAGGATTCATTTTAGCCAATGCATGGTAACGAGGACTGGATGGCAAATGGAAGTGGTGGTGCACAAACCACCTGAACTGACATGAGGAAAGCTTAGCTTTTTTCTGGTCCCTGCTGGCCAGCACATGCATTGCTGCTGTGTGGGGTGAGTTGGGGAGGAGGCTGCTCAGAGCTGACATTGTGCTTCTTTCTCTGCAGATCTGTGAGAAGCCAGGGGAGCTGTTGCTGTGTGAGGCACAGTGCTGTGGTGCGTTCCACCTGCAGTGCCTTGGGCTCTCCGAGATGCCAAAGGGCAAATTCATCTGCAATGAGTGTTCCACAGGTAGGGCAGCTTTTGTGAGTGCAGGACAGGGTGCTTGCTGGTGCTTCCTTTGCCATAGTATTGTGCCTGCAGTACAGCCATTAGCTAGCTTTCAGTCCTCTGATTATTGGCTTGATGTTTGATAATGACTTTCTAGTTAATTGGTCTTACTGTTGATTCAGACATGTGGGGTGTGAAGAAGTGAATGAGTGTCCAGGATTCATGAAAGCCTGGGAAAGAGAAGGGGAAATTTTTAGCTGGGACTAAGGAGAGAGGGCTGGTGGGGAGGATGAGTCTGGAGCAGGCTGGAAGGGTGGGAATGTCTTAAGTAGGGTTGTCAGGTTTTGGTTTTCTTCTTACTGTTCCTTTGCCTGATATCACAGCTAGAATAATACTTCTATTTGATCTGGAGTTCTGTTGCAGCTGCAGGCAAAACGAACCTGCTGCAGAGACCTGTGCTGTGGGATAGGTACAGCCAGTTGGAAAGTTGTGCTGTGCTAATATGTAGCCTGGTGGAAGTGTCAGATCTTCATTTAGTCCTTTTGTGTGACTGATGTTACATCTGCTGCTCTTCCTTCAGGGGTCCATACCTGCTTTGTGTGCAAGAGCTGCGGGGAAGATGTAAAGCGGTGCTTGCTGCCCCTCTGTGGGAAGTACTACCATGAAGCCTGCATACAGAAGTATCCACCCACAGTCATGCAGAACAAGGGCTTCCGATGCTCCTTGCACATCTGCATGACTTGTCACGCTGCTAACCCAACAAACATCTCTGCATCTAAAGGTACCAAAAGCTTGGAGGGTGTTCTGGGAGATGTGGTCAGAAGCTTTTTGTTTGTTTCATCTCTGGTCCACTAGCTCTTCAAGCAGATATTCTGTCCTTGACACAGTGCTTTGCTGTAGGGAGGAATAGCTTCTCCCAGTTGAGCAGAAGGGGAGATATCAATGTTCGAGGTCACTGCTCATCAGCACTCCTGATGGTCAGACGTGGCACTAAAATGTTCTTCTCTGTCCAGACGCCTGGATGCCTGCACGTCCAACGGTGCCACATTGCCTCTGGCTTTTTGAATAAGTCTCTGGAGCTGTACTGATGCTCTCATGTTTCTCCTATGTACTTTTCACTGTGCTGGTGCTGCAAATGGTGCCTGCTTAGCAGCACTGGATATGGAGACAGTGACACAGAGAGCAACGTAGTAAAAACTACGATATTGTTTTAGTTCTCCTTTTTTATAGTGCAGACTCTTGTCTTGTAGTGACACCCTTGGGTTGAGACTCTCAGGCAAACATTGGTTTGAGCTGTTGGCAGCAGAACCTTGACCTTTATCTCACATGATTAAACTTAGAACTTTTATGTGTTTGTCTTGTATATCTGCTTCTCAGGCTGTCTTCCTTTAAATCCGTGGTATCTCGAGATGAGTGACAAGACCAGCTCAGTTTTTATCCTCAGGGTCTGTGTTAAAGGTGTTTGGGGGGATTTTTTCACAACATACCCATATCTGGTGTAGAAGACAGCACAGGCCTAAAGCCCACAGCTGACAGCTTCCCTGCTGAACATTTACGTTGTGTTCTTCTGGCTGCTGCTTCTCAGTGGTCAGATTTACCCCTTTCCTCCCACCTCTTCTTATTTATGGTTTCCTGTGAGGAACTGAAAACAGGCTCTCAAAAACCTTGGGTTAAATTAGGCCTGTAGGCAATTCTGGATTCTCCATTTTGGAATTTCGGGGTAAAATCTGATAAAGTGGAAAGGCAAGTGCTGATGTTTCCAGAAGCTGCACAGTTTGGTTTCATTATGTGCAGCCAAGTACTTGGAACACCCCCTCTGTAATTACTGTCTGAGCTGATTTACTAATTATTTGTGTATGATAGGAAGCAGTCCCAGTCTGAACTCTTGAACTGTTTCTGCATAGCATGCAGGAAGTTTTTCACTTCTAAATAATAACAATTTTATATATGTTACATACAGATATAAAGGATATTCCTAGTTCTATTTGTATTTTGTTAAATAACTTAAGAATCTAGTGAGGATGTCATGAACAGGCAGTAAAAAAGGTCAGTTTTCTTTTCACTTACAGTTGATTGTTTTGAGCATAGGTATCACTAGAGGCTGGTTTTGGCCAGAATGAAGAATTGATTGTTCTTTAGAGGCTCAGTGTGCTCCCAACATGTTCTGGTCCTAGGCCGCCTGATGCGCTGTGTGCGGTGTCCTGTTGCGTACCACTCCAACGACTTCTGCCTCGCTGCTGGCTCCGTCGTGCTCGCCTCCAACAGCATCATCTGCCCCAATCACTTCACTGCACGACGGGGCTGCCGCAACCACGAGCACGTCAACGTCAGCTGGTGCTTTGTCTGCTCAGAAGGTGAGCCCCCTCTCACCAGGGAATGTCCGCACAAGAAGCTATTAAGAGAGGCAGAAGCTTTGACCACTCAGAATGTGCCAGTGAAATCTGCAGAGAACAGATTGCTTTCTTATGCATTCCCATTTAAGTCCAGCTTAAGGCTAGGACTTTTTCTGGATCCTTACAAGGATTCTTTTTGCAGCATAAGCAGGGCACAACTTTTGAAAAGGGTGTGCAGAAGAGCATCATGCCCTTTTCTCAGCTGTGTCTCTCTGGAAGTGTGGAGTCCAGGGCTTCTGTATAGCGACTGATGAAATCCTCCTCCTTTTCTTTGCAGGGGGCAGCCTCTTATGCTGTGAGTCGTGCCCGGCTGCATTTCACCGTGAGTGTCTAAACATTGAGATGCCAGAGGGAAGCTGGTATTGTAATGATTGCAAGGCAGGCAAAAAGCCACACTACAAGGAAGTAGTCTGGGTGAAAGTTGGGCGCTACAGGTAGGTGAAGGTAGAACAGAGTTGTACCCATCCCTTCTTCATGCAGTACTCATGGTGATGGAGGTGAGAAGCTGCTCCTCTCTGCAGGGTACAGTGCAGCAGCCTCTGGCTTTTTTCATTCAAGTAGTGGCTGGTAAAATGTGTGCTTCTCTCCTCCAGTAGCCTCTTATCTCCCACCAGCCGCACTGGTAGCCTTCACACACTTTTTCCCCACGTGCCCATGAAGTAGCATACTTTGGTTGGAAGCTGGGAGTCCAGCTGTTTCATCAGCCCTTCCCTGTGTTGCAGGTGGTGGCCAGCTGAGATCTGCCATCCTAGGACAATTCCTGTCAACATTCAGAAAATGAAACATGACATCGGTGAGTTCCCTGTGCTGTTCTTCGGCTCCAAGGATTACCTGTGGACCCACCAGGCCCGTGTGTTCCCTTACATGGAAGGTGATGTGAGCAGCAAAGACAAGATGGGAAAGGGCGTGGATGGCATATACAAGAAAGGTAACTTGTCTTCATCCAGGGAGGTACCCATTCTTTTCATTCCCATTTGCAGAAGTGACTTTTTTGGAACAGAGAAATTTTCTTAGGGCTAAAGTGAATTCAGATTTGTAGAATGAGCTGCTGCTTGTCTGTCATCCAGTGCACTCAGTGTTCATTGGTCTGACCCCAGAGAGGCAGAAGGGTGTGCAGATCTTGAATTTTTCTCCAGCTCTGACATAGCCACTCTAAGTCTGAGTGAGCTGCTGCTTTGTCAGCTTCCCTGTGTCACATACAGTCATTATCTCTATATAAAAACGCACTTGGGAGTTGTGAATGCAGCTGCCTGACAGTTTGGATGCTTCATCATCCATGGGCAGGTCCCTTACTGTAATTCTTGTGAGTGCACTGGCTGGTGAACCTCTGCTTCTGAAGTACACAGCCAGGGAGGTTTGCTTGTGGAACTGGAAGCACTGGGTGGACATTGGCCCAGCTCCTTGTGAACAGAGGGAGTTTTTTCATAACACAGCCTGTTCTCTCACATAGCTCTTCAGGAAGCTGCAGTAAGATTTGAAGAGTTGAAGGCACAGAAAGAACTGAGACAGCTTCAGGAAGACAAAAAGAATGACAAGAAACCTCCTCCCTACAAACACATCAAGGTGAGGGCAGTTTGATGGGGCAGGTGTGGAAGAGAAGTCTTGAGCTGTTGGTGCAGGTGATTTACAGGTATACAGAAACATTGCTACTGTTAGGGCATTTGGCTGCATTTAAAAGTTACTTTGGTCTTCTTGGCATCTTCAGTCATCCTCCACAGAAAGGATTCGTGTATGTGCGGTGCTGCATGGAAGCTGGAGACTAGTAAGAGAGAGGTACTCTGATTTACTGGAACAGATCTGGACATCTCTGTGCTGTCCCCTGTCAGTTGTGTGGTCTGAAGAAATGTCTCTACCTGGAGAAGTTAGGGGAGAGTGCTAGTAATACACAGTATGCTCAAGTGCTGTGTGCTACTGGTGGCAAGGAGGGCATCCCAGGACAAGCGATGGTCAGGGTGCAGAGTCAGTGGAGCAGAGCTGCATGGAGGATGGTAGCTCACCATCTTGTTTCATCCATGCTATTGTTGTGTATCCCTTTCTGTATGAGTTGGTGACTGGACAGAAATACTAAAGCTGATGTACCTTCTGGAATATCATATCGGCTATTTTGCTGAGTTTTGGGGGAACTCCTCATGTTTGGGCTGGTTTTCGTGGTAGATCTAGAGCACCAATTGAAGTTCTGTAGGATGGAGGTAATTTGAGGGGCAGGTTGGGGTCAGGCAGGTGTATGTGCTTGAGGTGTGGGTCCAGACCGATCAGAAACCTGGTGACTCAGGACTGTGTTCTTTTTCCATTGCCTCTGTCAGCTCCTTCCCTTTTTTTATGTGGCAGACTATGAAAGCTTTACTGACTGCTGGTGCTTTTTATGTCTAGCTAGGACTTCTAGGCAGGTGGGTATATCCTGTGTAAGTTACTGTACGGTATAAAGAGCATAGCTGAATGCTGTGGCAGCAGTATTGGCCAGGCAGCTTCAGTGGAGGAAATACAGTTTCTCATTAAAGGTATTTTTAAGCTTGTCTGTGGCCACAACACAAAGGAACTTTGGAAGCAGTTTGGAGCCTTTGAAATACCCTTTTAATATAAATAATAACTGTCATGGTTATTAGCTGTGGCAGCTCTCGTGAGTGCAGGCTCTTTGTGAAAGCAAAGCAGTTTGCAGGAGCATGCAGTGGACTGGAGAGGGTTTCAGGGTGGAATAGCCGCAGCTGACTTGTGTCTGCTCCTGACCTGGCCTTCTAAGGAGATCAGCACCTGGTTCATTCCAGGGAGACATAAGAGTCTGCTGCAGATCTCCTTCATCACATCAGGGTTGTGGCTAGTCCAAGCATTGCCCTGTTATGGAGCTGGTTTGGAACTAGCAGTGCCTCAGAGGAGAGTAAGGCAGGCCTGCTGGGCACTTGTGCGTGCTGACACTGTGGTCACTTGGAGTGGCAGTGCCAGAGCCAGAAAGGACACTGCTGCCTGGACTGACCTAGTCCTATGGGTGTCATCACTGAGTGAGAGATGGAAAGCACCTGTGAGCGTTGTCACTGAGTAAGAGATGGAAAGCACCACAGGAGAACACAAGAGTGACAAGGAAGGTATTAGGAGGAAGTGGAGACTATGCTGAAGAGGTTAACCAGGGGTTTCTGCAGGGTTTGCTTTTAAACAGAAGGAGGATCCAGGGCAGGCCAGCCTCGGGCAGGCTGACAGCTCTCTGGGTAGAATTAGGTAAATAATGTGGGGGCTGGAATAGTTGTGCTAAGTGATCCCCCCTTTTTGTGTTCTGAGAGAGGAGAGGAAGCCTATGGTATCGCTTACCCAGGCAAAGAACAGCAAGGAGCTTTTCTTCAGTGTCTCTCTCCAAAGTACTGACTCTGTTGCCCACTTTTCAGTGTTTGCTGCCTTTAACCAAAACCAAAGGACCCTGCTCCTGCCGCAGACATGCCGGTCACTTCTCCAGCTGGTGCTGCACTGTGCTGCCTTCTGGAGCAGTTTTTAGAGAGCTCCTTGCCTTAACTCTGAGCTCCTCTCTGGGCCTTCCAACCCCAGCCCCTTGGATGGTTTTTCTTTATTTCTATCTGCAGGACAGTGGAGCAGGAAGCTGACTGTGGCCTGGTGCATAGGTAGGCCCCCTGCACTCTGTCATGGGCATAACAGCCTGATAGTGACAGCTGAGAGCACAAACCAGCTCGAAGGTAACAGGTTAAACAAAACAGGACTGTAAGGGAAAGCTGAGGAAAAGGGCTCAATGCACAGAGGCCAGGGAAGGTGCTCTTTCACATAGAAAATGGTGTGGTGTTGATCACAGGTATGGTGTGCACCCAGCAAGAGTGCTGGGCCACTTGAATTGGATGTAGGCACAGAGATGGTGGGAAAGGGACACTTGGCAGCTTTCCTTGCCTCCGGGATCACAGAACACACACTGCACCAGTGGTGCTAATGGGTGACCTGCAGCTTCCTTAGCTCTTCCCTTTAACCCCATACCTCTTGAAATAGTGTGCCCAGGAGCACATCTGTACTTGTGTCTTGCTGCCCCTTGCTGTAACCAGCTCACACTGCAGCCTGTCAGCTCGTGAACAAGGGTTGGGTATAGAAGTGACTAGCAGGGTACCTGTTGTTCTTGAGAGCTGAAATCCTTCCTGTGTGTTCAAGGTGAACCGGCCGGTGGGTAAGGTTCAGATCTTCACCGCAGACCTGTCTGAGATACCACGCTGCAACTGCAAACCGACAGATGAAAACCCCTGTGGCCTGGACTCGGAGTGCATCAACCGCATGTTGCTCTATGAATGCCACCCCCTGGTGTGCCCCGCTGGGGAGCGCTGCCAGAACCAGTGCTTCTCCAAGAGACAGTATCCTGAGGTACAGATTTTCCGCACACTGGCACGAGGCTGGGGCTTACAAGCCAAAACAGACATCAGAAAGGTACCTTCTCTGTTTCTGCATGTAGTTTTCTCTTTGCTGCTTCTCTCTTATTCAGCATTGGTTTCAATAGATCGGAAAAATTCCTGGCTTCCATAATTCGAAGATGACTTCTTGCCATAGAATGCTATTTAGGTAATGGATGAGTTTAGCTTTCCCAGTCCTGACAAGAATGTTTTGGCTCAGATAACCACGAAAATGGTTTGCATGTTGTTATCCCACATGGTAAGAAAGATGATCGCTTGATCTGTCTGTCTGTATAGACAACAGGCTTTGAGTACACCAAAATACTGGCCTGAAGACTGTGCTCAGGATTTCCATATGGGGAACAGTGATTATTATACCTCCCCCATTTTTGAATAGCCATGCTTTTCCAGCATGAGAATCTTGTATCAGAAACTGAAATCAGGGCTTGGCTCTTAAAAAAGGGTAATGTCTTGGAGATGGCTGTTGTTATTGCTGAAACTGGTATCTCCAGCTACAACCCTTGCATTTAATTTTAAAATCCAAAGAATAGTAGTTGTGTGGACACACGTCTGTGCTGAATGAAAAGGAAAAATGTTAAAGAGAGCTCCAAAGATAAAAAGGAGTGAAGTGAAACAGAGGGCAGGTAGCATAGTAGGAGAAGAATGTCTGAAAAAGGAGTGGGGAGGGCTTGATAGCAGAAGGAGAAACGTGAGTCTGTCCTCTTAAGGCTTTGCTACGTGCTGTGATATAGGTTAAATGGTCTCTCTGCAGTTCATGTGCCTGGAAGTTATGTTTCACTTTCAGCAGACAGTCTGGAAACAGCAAAACTCAGTTATTTAATGGAGACACCTATTAGCCCCACTGCAGCAGAGCTGACATTCCCTATGATGGCTGGAGTATGGTCTTTCTGGTACTTCAGTGCAGGGAACTCCATGGATCCACTGCAAGAGCAGTTGTCCTCAGTGCATCATGCTGCTTGGTGTGGTTGGTCCCCAAAGGGGTATTGTTTCATGCTGGAATGTGGTTTTGCAGTGCTTTGAGCTTTGCAGCTTTGTGGTTTACTTCTGCGCTGTCCCTGAACAGTAATTCTTTCCATAGCACAAAGATGGCTGTTGTTTAATTTATTTCAAGTTACTTCTTGAGTATATGAAAGGGATGTATGATTCATGGCTCTTAGTGAAGATTATAGGTCAAACTGGCTGCAGAGCCCATGGAGATGTTTTTATGAGGTTTCCACAGAGGAAACAGGAACTAAGTTTTAGAACAAAGGTGGATGTCCCTTCATCCTGGAGGGGATTTGTCTCATCTTACCAGCTTGTTGTTTCCTCTCTGCCAGGGTGAATTTGTTAATGAGTATGTTGGGGAGCTAATTGATGAGGAGGAGTGCCGAGCCCGAATCCGCTATGCTCAGGAGCATGACATCACCAATTTCTACATGTTGACACTGGATAAGGTATGTAAAGGGATTTTTTTGTTTGGTTTTGCCAGGATAATTTATAGAAGCAAAATGTCAGCAAGGAAGGCACAGAGTGGTCTTCTCCAGCAGGTAAAATTGGTGCTAAGAATTTGGTGTCTTCAGAATGCTTCCCAGCAGCTGAACTCTATAGAGTCCAGCCCTGGGCTGGTGTGTGCCAGAGAAGGCATCAGCCTTCAGATACACAAAGTACCAGGCACAGTGAGACCTTCATTTTAAGTTCAGATCCCAGGTCTTGCTGACTTAAGTAAAGCAGTGGAGTTTGTTACACCCACAGACTCCTCAGTGGGTCCTGGAAGCCAGGTTGTTGGTGTGAGCTCCTGGCTTACAGAGGTAAGTACTTGTCAGATGCTTTCCATGCTTTTCTCACTTAACCTTGTGAAGACTAGAGGGAGACCATGAAAGCAGGCACTGGAAGAAACTATCAGGTGTGGGACAGGATAACAACGTGACTGCTTTCTGGCTCTCTCCTCTTCTTGCTGGAAATTCACAGACCATATATTGTTCTCCTTGTTTGTCTGATGGGTGGGAGCAGGGGTAACCCAAGTGTCCTATTATTTCAAAAGCAAATCTCAGTTGCAGCTGCCCTCTCCTCTCCCCAGCACAGACTAACAAAGTGGTAGTATGCTGTAGAGAAGTGTACCTCACACATTACATACTGTTCCTGTTCTATACATTGGCCTGCAAGAAATAGGAACTGCTGTTTCGCTTTTAAGCAGAAGCTGGGATCTAGAACCACAAGTGCTGCCTTAGAAGCTTAGTGATTATCCAGCACTGACACCGCAGGGAGAGTTAACTTCCCACAAAGCAGCAGTAGGACTTCCCTGGCTGTTGAGGAGCTCTTGTATCTTGGAAAAGGAAGATCTCCGTGCAGGAGACTGTTTTTGTGTGATCTGCCAGTGGGTGGAAACCGGTTGGGTGTCTGTTGATTTTTCCAGGCAGCACAGCGACACCTGTCACTTACACTGGGTTAAAACACATGGATGAGGATGCTTCCCGAGCATCATCAGATGCCTCTGCTGTCACGCGTTTCAGTACTGGTTAATGCTTTCTTGATATATAAACTGGGCTGCAGTGGTCTGAGCAACAAATAACGGTTTATTAACTGTGTGTTTCTGATTTTTCTTTTCTTCCCATTCCAGGATCGAATCATTGATGCCGGGCCAAAGGGCAATTACGCTCGGTTCATGAACCATTGCTGCCAGCCAAACTGTGAGACTCAGAAGTGGTGTGTGAACGGCGACACACGGGTTGGGCTCTTCGCAATTGTAAATATCAAAGCTGGTAAGAAACCTTGTTCTGGCAGTACCTGCAGTTAAAGCGTGGGAGGGTTTCTGTAAGAAAGGGGAGGGTTTGTAGCTCCCTGGGAAGATGGTTAATTTTTGTTTTCATATCAGCATTCATGAGACTTAACACCAGCGCTGGCATAATGAAACACATCCATGGTATAAATGGAGGTTCCTAGTTCCAATTTACAGGGCTGAGAAATGGAACTATTGCACTGAACTTTCAATCCACACAGATCTATGGGAGATGAATAGTTGGTATCCTTGTGTATTTGTGACAGTCCTTTGTGGCACTGTATTTCAGAAGTGCTTTTATTTCAGCAGCGAGCCATTCTGCCCCATAGCTCATTACAACTTGCTTGGTTTTGATCTGCTTTTGTGCCAGGGACTGAGCTGACTTTCAACTACAATCTGGAGTGTTTGGGAAATGGAAAGACCGTTTGTAAATGTGGTGCCCCAAATTGCAGTGGCTTCCTAGGAGTACGGCCAAAGGTATGATGTCTCCTTTAAGCATTTGTTCTTCCACGTCACCTTTTCTCATAGATGTGCATCATTTGTTGCAGAGATCTTAGGAAGGGTAACAATGTGGCCATGAGAACAGTGCTTGAAATGAGCTGAATATTCAAGTTTCCACGCTGAGAGAACAGATCTTAGACCTCAGTTATTAGAATTGCTAGAAATAATGAAAGGAAATTGTATTTTACACCAAAAGAGTAAATGAAAGATTTTTTTTCAGAATTTTCTGCTTATTATCATGGCAATTTCCGTGGCACTAGAGGAGCAAAGGACAGGCATGGGAAGGACTTCCTTCGGATAACCAGGAAACCACAGCTCAGCCCATTTCCCAGAGTAGAGGCCTGAGTAAATTGTGAGCATGCATGAAAGGCCAGCAAACTTGCATTCCTTCAGACTGGAGGTGCTTTATTCTACATCACCATCTTTGCTGCAATAAGAAACTTTGGGTTTTTTTCCTTCTATTAATTAAGCAACTGAAATTTACACATCAGGCAGGCATAAGAAATGCCATATATAGTAGAAAAATAGCTTTTAGAACTCGCTGGCTTTTGAGAGCTTCATTTTGTAACTGCAATGTTGCAGTAACAGGAATTGATTTCAGTTACCTCCTTGTGTGAGCTGGTTCTCACTGGGAAAAGGAAATTACTGGAGCAGTTGGCCGAGTTCCCAGCTGTCACCAGCAAAATCCATGTCTCAGCTGTTGGATTGTTTCAAGAGCTTCACCAAATCAGTCTGTAATCCCTCTGCTCTGGTGTGTGGATACTGGTGGCTTACCCACAGTTAAGGGTTAAAAGCCCTGTCAATATATACGGAAGGTTTTGTGAATTCTCCAGGAAACTTCATTCTGCAGAAGAATTAACTTATGATAAAAAATATATATATAAATAATTGATGTCTTAAGAAGCTGCCAGATGAGCTGAATGGCACATCTGATGTACTTAGTTCCTTTTTGGGGGGTTGAGATTTAAAGTTCGATTGATTTTGTGCTGCTCCTGTGTTATACATGGTTTCATTGTCATTTTTACCCTGAAGTTGCAGGTTGCATGATGGAAATCAGAGAAAGGTGCCCTTTAGTTGGCATTAATGCTCCATTGTGGTGCCTGAGGCGACTCACTCTGTCTCGATGAGAGGGGCTAAGAAACAGTGCCCAAGAAAACAGTACCCTGGGGGTGGGTGGGGGTGGTTTTCTATTCTTTTTTCAAATTCCTCCCACAGTAGATGCATTTTTAAGCTTCCTGAAGATACAGCAAGACAAGATTATGGTGTAGCTCAGTCTTCAAAGCGACCTTGCTAACTGGGACTGTGGAAGAATGCTTGGAGGTCTATTGTATTGAAGTGTGAATCGAGTGGTCCAGCTGTCAGACTTTGCCTTAGACATTCAAATTAGCTGTGAAAGGTTTTTCTTGTTCTCTTTGTAGTTAAATAGCCGAGGTACTAGAAGCTGATAATAGGTGGAGTGATTTCACTGGCTGCATTTTCACTGATAAGAAAGGCTTTACTGGTCCCCATTGTCAGTGTGAATGGTGGTATGGAAGGAGAAACATCCACAGGTAGAGGGGAAGGAAACAACCCAGAGCTGTAACTCCCTAGTGGCAGGACAGCTGGGTAACCACTGTTGCCCAATTATGAAATTGTAGGTCTGCAGACAAAGCTTTTTAAATGTTTTGTTGGTTTTGGGTTTAGTCTTCATATGAGAGCAATGAAAATAGTGCCCAATATTTATGCAGAACAAAGGATGCAAAAATCGCCTTGTAGGTGTCATCTCAGCACACAGATGTTTTGTGCCAAGAACCCATTATTTGGACATAGATATGTGGAAAATGACATAAAATTTAGCTCATGTCTGTTTAGATAAACTGAATGGATAGTGCTTTGATAAGGTCACTGACTGGGGACAATTAGCATCATCTTTGTAGAGTGCTTGGTACAGTGGGAGGCTTAGCCTGGAGAGGATCTCTGCTAAGGAGGTTAGGAGTGGTCTGAGGAGCTAGTCCGAAGGGAAAGGCAGCCTTTGAGGAAGCCTTAGGCTAGAGGAGAGAGCACTTAAGCCATTTATATGCCAATCTGGGGACCAGTTGTGGTTATTTCATTACTACCTGTAACACGGTTTTTGGAAGCATGGTAATATAACTGTCATATAAGGGTGTTGGAGAGGATGGGGCACTTACAAAGGAGTAACTGAGTATAACTGGGAGTGGGCTGGAGTTCAGAGATTCAGTACACCAGAGTACAGAGTGCACACCTGGAGGGTAATAGAAGCAAATCTGCCATGGTCACGAGCAGTGGTGGAGAAGAAGCTGTTGAAGCAGTTCAGTTGCCGCAGGACCGAGCTGTTGTTGTGATGTAGTTGTGAAAAAGGCAAATGGTGGCAGTGCTTTGGGAGAGAATTCCTGTTCTGGAGAAGTGTTGGTGTCATTGTACATGTGAGGCATCATCTGAAATAGTGTACTGGGGAAAAATAAACTCCCTAGGGGTAGAGAAAAGCCATTAGGAAGACCGAGGGTGCAGACTGTAACTTTGGTTTATGAGAAGGAGAGTATGTCCCTGTAGTTACTTCAGGGAGAGAGGAAAATCTGGCTGGAAGAGAGCAGCACTGACATGAGAAAAATATAGGTCTAAACTGATCACAGATAAATGAGACTGAAAACGGGAAGAGGAGTGAGGAATGTCAAGAAGTGCAGGAAGGCATTGGAGAGACTCTTCTTAGAATCATAGAATAGTTAGGGTTGGAAAGGACCTTAAGATCATCAAGTTCCAACCCCCTGCCATGGGCAGGGACACCTTGCTCTGAACAGGAAAGAATGTCCTCCTTATATCCAATCTAAACTTCCCCTGTTTAAGTTTTAACCCATTACCCCTTCTTAAGTCATGGATGCAAGGAGATGTGACTGCTTTGAGGGCATGAAGCGTGTGAAAGCTGGCACAAGCTCAGTGCCATCAGGCAGCCCCTGGCTCCTCATTCTGCTGTTGCTAATTGTATATATCCCACGTTTAAACAGGCTTTGGTGCAGGGTTTCCAGGTTCTTAAAGAGAACTATTTTGCTGTAGTAGATTGGTTGCCAAATACTAAGAAGCATGTAGAGATGCTACATACACGAGCTTTCAGGTACAGCAGGCAGTGGGATTTTTATGTGCAGGCTTTGCAGTTACCTCCACTGTAGCAGGAAGGCAGCAGATGGAAGGGGCAGAAACCTGCATTAACTGACATTGTCTCACCCACAGAGCCAGCCCAACCTCAATGAGGAGAAGTCCAAGAAGCTCAAGAGACGGCCGCAGATGAAGCGCAGGTCGCAGGCAGAGGTGATGAAGGAGCGAGAGGACGAGTGTTTCAGCTGCGGGGACGGAGGGCAACTGGTTTCTTGTAAGAAGCCAGGCTGCCCCAAGGTGTACCATGCAGACTGCCTCAACCTGACCAAGAGACCTGCAGGTCAGTGCTCCGCGTGGCTCTGCTTGGGTCACGGCGTTGACTCGGTGTCCCAGGTGCTGCTCATCACCTTGCACTCACTTCACAGCATCTTAGAGAAATCTTTCTTACATGGTTCATATGATACAGCCCTGGTTTTCACCCCAGTGTGCCTGCAAGAAAGGGAATTAATTGCTCAAGGGGCAGCTGGTTCTTGCCTGAAAAATGGTACTTGTGAGCAGACCCCATCCTTGGGGCCTGGCAAAGGACAGTCCCAATGACAGTTGAGATACTGGTTCCTCAAATTGGCCTTTTTCCCAAAGTTGAAGGCATTTGAGTGAGTTGAATGGTGTAAGGAAAAGCACTGGTGGAAAATAGAGTATAGAAGAATGTGTTAGATATCTGAACAGCCATGAGTTCATAGTAAAGGAAGAGAACAGTATCAAAACATATCCTAGTTTGTGGTGAAATGGGGGCAGAAATTTGAAATAAAACCAGAAAATATTCCAAAAGTACTTCTGGTTGGGTACAGACAAAGAAATGGGCTCTGTGTATGAGTGATAAACCAGCTTTGAGTTCACTAATAGGTTACTAAAGGAGTTTCTGCAACCTTTAATGAGTGTTCAGGTTTAGCAATGCTCAAAAAGTGAACAAGTGTGACCTTAGTCTGGTAGGCCAGTTAGCCTGATGTCTGCCAGGCCAGGAGGATGGGAAAGCTGATACAGCATTGAGTTCCTGAAGAACTAAATGGTAAGAATATAAACAATACTAGATGACAAGTTTTTAGGTACAATAACTCATCAACCCTAATTTAGGAGCTTTTGCTAAGATAATAAATCTGGTTAATACAAGCAACTGCATAAAAGTTATTTGTTTAGAGGGTTGTAAGTCTTCGGATTGAATACTGACAGTGTTGTTGTAATTAGAAGCTCCATGTGCAGCTCTGTGCAGTGTTTCTGAACCCATTTGAGGCAGGCTGAGAAACATGGAGCTGAGCAAGCTCTGGAAGTAACTGTCAGGAGAGTCTCACTGCACTACAGGGAGCGAGAACTGGGTGTTCAGCATCTCTAGCTGTAACTTGGCAAGAGGTGTAGGAGGGCTAGTAGAGTATTTGTAGCTGACAGAAATTATGTTGTGTGTTAAGTCTGGGGGGAGAATAAGGTGTTTGTATGCAAGAGCTTGGGTTGCTCATTGAGCAAACACTGTGAAAGCCAATGGGAGTGGAGGTTACTCCTATGGAACGTCAACATTCCAGGTGAGGGAGCCCTGAATATCACCTTCCTGTTTATTTTGTGTGCTAAAACAGGGCTCTGTAACATCCTGGCAGGTTTTCCCATGCTTCAAAGTCCCCAGGAAAGGAGAATCCAGCCTTTCCCTTGAACAAACAACAGTTTGCCAGCTCTCCAGTATCCAGTTTTTCACATACTGGAAGGCTGTGATCTCCTTAGTCCTTTTCCAGCTTCAATCAAACACAGCCTCTCCTTGCAGCTCCTGTTCTACTGTTCCTGGTCTTCTCTGGACTGTGTCCCACTTGCCTACACACTTTTAGAGCCGGTAACTTGGTTTTTAGCAGCATTGCAGCCAAGGCCTTGCTAACCCCAGCAGAAGAGAGTAACGTAGGTTGTGTTTTACAGAAGATTTCTCAGGAAATGAGATCTGACTTGTTTTGCAGAAATAACTTAATGTTTGTGATGTCTGTGATTTGCCCTTTCATCCTTGAGTCCTTATGCTGATTGCTTTTCACATACTTCATTTCTTCCTCCTCCAGTCCTGTTTTGCATTGGTGTTTATTTAATTGCACTCTCCTGGTGCAAGAGCATCTGTCCAGTTTAAACCCTGAGCCTATCTAGCCACATATCTGCAGTCCTTCACAGTCCTGTTGTTACCTACCCATTTCTGCAAGAGTCTTTGCTGTTCTGCTTCCAGAAATGTAAATTCAAATACAGACTAAAATAGACTCCTGCAGGATGTCACTAGAAATGCCTCCTCGGTTTGCCAGGAGATCGTTAATACCTGGGTTTTTGAGACTAACTTTTCAGTCAGTTGTAAGCATTTTACTCCTGGGCTGTTACTTTCATAGCCTGCTCCTTAGAGCATCATGCAGGACATGAAAGGTTCAGCACTTTTTCCTGCAAATATTTCCTCTGCCAGGGGCATTGCTGTGGAATAATTGGGATTTCCTGCTTGTTTGCATGTTACTAATTGTGTGATCTTACTTCCAAGAGCTCCCGGCTGTCTGGAGAGGCCGGTTATTCATTAGGCCTTTTATCCTGTCAAAGACCATTAGAGTGCTTTGATAGGATTTCTCTTTCCTGCAGTATACTGGCAGCTTTTGACTTTATTTTTCCATCCTTACAAATGACCCCTATAATAATAGTCCCAGAATCTTTCCAGTGGCCAAAGTGAGTGTTGAGCGTGGCTCTCTGGGGTGTTGATGGTGTGGAGGGAGCAGCAACAGCCTGTGCTGCAGCACCATGAGCCTGGAAGGGGTAAACCATATGTAGTGTTAAACATCCCTGCTCTGAAAAGTGCTGAAAAATTGGAAGAGACATAGAAAAGCGATGTACCTATTTTGGGAGTGGAACAGAAGCCTTGGACAGGCTTCAAAGGAGAGGAAGAACATGCTGCATGTTGTCTTCAGCCCTGGGGGAAAATCAGCATGAGAGGGGAGTGGAAAGCTGATGTTGCACTGTGCATTGAGAGATGCACACAGCTACTCAGTGCCATGCTGCAGTCGTGCTCTCTTCCAGCCTCCCTGGAAAATGCTGGTAGCCAAAGGCACAGATGCATGGGCCTGGTTCAGGGAGGATGGGGAGTGCTCTGCCCAGACCGGTGCTGCAGCAGCCCTCCATCACTTGTGCTCTGAGCATTTGCCTGTGTGAGGGCTGCTCCCTAGGAGCTGTGCTTCCCTGCAAGGCAGGGAGCCGGGTGGGCATGGAGGAGCATGGGGGCAGCTACACTGGTCTTATGGGGAGAGGTCAGGATCTCGGCATCCTGTAACCTGGGTGCAAATGGTCTCACTGTTCCTTGTGTCTGTGAACTGGTGAGAAGCATTTGGTAGAGACAGCAGCAGCCGTGGCTGGGAGAGCAGGGGGCTGAAGCAGTGAGGTCATCTACAAGTTTAAGAAGCAGCAGTCTCTGAAGTGTAATGCTTTTTCCCTCTGTGATGGTGTTGATAGTGGTGGTGAAGATATTCAGTGTGAACATGGAGCTCCTTAGGGAGAAGCTTGGCTTTGTATTCAGAAGTTTATTGTGGCTATATGCAGAGGTTAAGGGAAGATGCCTTGGGTACAACAGAAACTTCCTCCCTTGAGATCACTGCCCTCACTACCTCTTTCTGATAAACAGGAAGGGAGGTCACTGACCCAGAATAACAAAGACTTAGGTGAACTTGACACATCTGTTTTAAAAAGTCCATTGAGAGTACTGTACAGACACCACTGTTGCTGGCTGGGGAAATCAGAGACACAGAGATAACGCAAGCTGGGCAATGTCTACTCTTCTTTAGGCACCTGAATTGGTTAGTGTCATGCTGGAGCCGGATGGGCTTTTGGTCTGCTATGGCATGGCTTGTGTTTGTCAGGAGTATCATTGCCCTTGTTGCTGCTGAAGATGCAGGTTCCTGTTAACTGCCCATCAAACCTGGGAGCTATGGCAGAAACTGAGGAGGACACGTAGGATGTATGGGAGTATTACAGGGGTGTTTCTACTCTCCCTTAACTGCCTTTACCTAAGCTCTTGTCTCTTCCCGTTGTCACAATCCTAAGGTATCTTTTTCTTTCTCCTGTGCTGCAGGAAAATGGGAGTGCCCATGGCATCAGTGTGATGTTTGTAGTAAGGAAGCAGCTTCCTTTTGTGAGATGTGCCCCAGGTCCTTCTGCAAGCAGCACCGGGAAGGCATGCTCTTCATCTCCAAGCTGGATGGACGTTTAAGCTGCACAGAGCATGATCCCTGTGGTCCTAACCCTTTAGAGCCAGGAGAAATTCGTGAGTTTGTGCCTCCCATAGAAGACCTGACTAATGATGAGGAAACCCAGCCACCGGAGCAGCCACCTGCAGACACAGACCTGAGCGTTCAGCCTCTGGACAGCCTACCTCAGTCTGTGGCCCTCAGACTGCAGTCACCAGAAAAGCCCCCCGCTACCTTAGCGTTAAGGCTGCCGTCGTCAGACAAACCCCCCACCACCCTAGCCCTGAGGCTGCAGCCGTCAAACAAGCCCCCTACCACGCTGGCCCTCAAGCTGCCTCCACCAGACAAACCACCCGCTGCCCTGGCGCTGAGACTGCCACCATCAAATAAACCCCCCACCACCTTGTCACTGAGGCTGAAGCCATCCAACAAACCCCCCACCACCCTGTCACTCCGGCTGCAGCCTTCAGACAAACCTCCCACCACCCTGTCACTCCGCCTGCAGCCGGCTGACAAGCCCCAGGCTGCCCTGTCCCTAAGGCTGCAGTCAGAGAAGCAGCCCATCATCTTAGCACTGAAGCCTCAGCAGCCTGACAAACCTCCCACCAACGCGGTGCTCTGGCCACTGGACGAGTCCTCCAGTGATGCCTCACAGCCTCATCTGCCCAGCACATCCCCAGGATCTCCTCAGTCATCAGACGAGTCACTGGTTACTGCTGGTACCCTGCAGCTCCAGCTGTCAGATGAGCCTCCTGCCACCCCTGGAGTTTTGGCGTTACCAGACAAGTCTCTCCTTGACACCGGGAGCCAGCAGCCAGAGCTGCTGGATGAGTTCCCTGCTGAATGCCTGCATCCTCAGCTATCAGACGGACATCTCGCCACAGCAGGGACCCTGCAGTGCCAGCCAGTGGATGAGCCTCCTGTGGCTGAGCAGATTCAGCTGTTGGACAGAGCTTCTGCCCAGAGTCTGCAGCCTCAGTCTGTGGAGAAGGCTCCCAGCTCTGTGGTGTCACAGGTGCCAGCACTGGAGATGGCTCCAGCTCCTGGGGTGCTGTGGCCTCTGCCCATTGAAAAAGTCCCTGGCTCTGTGGTCTCACAGATCCTGCCCATGGAGAAGGCTTCTGGATTGGTTGTTCCACGGCCCCTGCCTACAGAGGCTTCCTTCTCCGGGGTAGTGCGAGTCCCGGTCACGGAGAAGGCTCCGAGCTCTGATGCATCCCGTCCCCTACCTCCAGAGAAGGCTCCTGCCTTGGGTGTCTCACGGACCCTACCCACAGAGAAGGCTCCCAGCTTAGCGGCACCATGGCCCCTGCCTCTGGAGAAGGCCGCTGGCTCCCGGTCACCGCACACCCTGCCCATGGAGAAGGCTCTTGGCTTAGGGGCCCTGCGCATCCCGCTCACACAGAAGGCACTCACCCCTGGGGTGCTGCGGCCGCTGCCTCCGGACAAGGCTGCCGAGACGGGGGCCCTGCGGGTCCTGCCCCCAGAGAAGGCTCTCGGCTCTGGGGTGGCTCGGCCTCAGCTCCTGGAGAGGGCTCTCACTCTTGCAGCCCCATGGCCCCAGTCGTCGGACAAGCTGGCTGCTGCCGTGGCTCCTCGGCCTCAAGTTGTGGACAAGCCTCTGGCTGTGTCGGCTCCGAGGCTGTTGCTGTCGGAGAAGGCGCTGCGGCCTGTCGACCAGAATGCTCAGCTGAAGGAGAGAGGAGCCCCAGCGGTGGAGCTCAGTCCCCAGCAGAAGGAGAGGACTATGTTAGCAGGTGAGCAGATCTCTTGGTCTGCTGGGAAGGCAGTGCTGCATGTCGGACAGGTACCTTGGCCTACAGAGAAACTCCAGATGCATGAGCAAACCCACTGGCCCACTGCAAAAGCCCTGACGCCTGCAGAGCAGCCCCCCAGGACAGCAGAGAAGCTACCGGAGCCAACCCTTCAACCCAGCTGGGAAGTGGCCTCAGCCCCAGCAGAGCAAACCCCTTGGACATCAGAGAGATTGTGTGTGTTTGAGCAGACCCCTCGGCCAGCCAGGGAAGCGCCAGTGCCCCCGGAGCAGATGCAGTGGCTTATCACGAACGTTCAGACTATTGACCAGATTTCTTGGCTGAGTGGAAAATCACAGACTCCTCGGGGGCAGGACCCTTTGCCTGAACAAAACACAGCGCTAGCCCATACCCAGGATTCTGTCTGTCGTGAGTTGGCCAACTCAGAGCCAAAGTGAGGTTGGTGAATATGGGAGGCAGGTTTCAGTCTTTCAATGTTTAGGGAGGGGGAATCTTTATTTTGGTCTTTTGTTTTTTATTCACTTCCCTGAGCCCGGTCCCTAACCCATGCACATCCCATCCATATTCTCCTGTGACACGAGCAAGGACGTTCTCTTAAGTCTGAGTGTGGCCCAGCCAAAGGAAGAGAGCATCTGTGACCTTTTCCTCTTCCTTTTGCAAATGGTAAAGCTGAAATAAAGAGTCCGCTCTGGGTAAAAATCTCCAGTTCCATTGAAATGGTCACATTACTGATGCAGCGTGTTCGAGCTCCAAGTCCGATTCACAGGCGGGTTCCCAGGTACAGCCAGGGGCCTTGCTCTTTTTCCTGTATTTAGAGTCAGGCTGCCCTGGGAGCAGAGCTGTTTCGGGATGAGGCGGTGAGCAGTCAGGTGTATGTATGCTCTTGCTAGATTCTGTAGCAACAGAGAAGGGGTTTATCCATCGTCTGCCCAGGTCTCTGTCCCTGCAGGGTGTTGCTTTGTGAGGTTTGTCCTTATGTTCACTGGGATGTGCTGTGTGCGTGGTTCACTGACGGACAGTTGCCATCTGCAGTGGAGCTGGGAGAGGAGCACGCTGCACTCAGTGCAGGTTACTCCAGCAATAGACAGCATCTGTTCAGGCTCCATTGTACACAGCTGCAAGTGGCCAGGCCTGAGAAACGGAGAATTTGAAGGAGACCAGGGAAAAGAGAGATCTTGGAAGAAGTCATCTGGCAGTTTCTTCATCCTTGTGTCTTAAACACAGGACACATGGAGTGTTTCCTGCACTTGAAAACATTGCGACCTATAAAGCAGCAATAGCAGAGTAGGGCAGAGTGGGTTTCCCCAAGGTGCTAAGCACCACCGCGGCAGGGTGGTGGTGCTCCCTTTCAGATTCCCATCCAGTCTCTTCTTGACTTGTGTCGTCACCGTGAGCCAGCAGACTGAGCAGTCTTTTCTCCCCTTGCCCCAGACGCTTTCAAGACGTGTTCACATCGTACCTGGTCTTCGCAGCAGCAGGACATGCTGCCGAGCTGCAGATGAAGCCTGTACCGTTCGCTACGCAGTGTGGAGGCAAGGGTGCTGTAGCTGTATCAAGACCCATCTCGACACCATCCCCTTGGGTAGCTTCTGGTTTAACTCTTCTACAACCAAAGGAGACTTGAATTAACTGGACTGTGTTTGTGTCTGTATGAGTGTGTGTGTGTGTGTGTCCTTCCAACTGAATAGTTCTCACACTGGAACACGGGGGGCTCCAGCAGCTGGCTGGCTTTCTTCTTTGCTCTTCTCCCTTTTCCAGTTAAGGAGATGCTTAGTACCTGGTGGTCATCATGCTGGTGCCCAGACTAGGCCTGCTGCAAGCTGTTCATTCAAGCATTGAAGCAGAAGTTCACTCAGCCATGGTACTCGTGGGACAAGCAGTAGAGTCCCAGGGACCTGCAGAGTGGCACCTTGCAACTTCCAGCACCCACACAGGCAGGAGGAGGATGGACTTGGCCTCCCTGGTGGCACTGCTTGGGCTGGATGGGGCTGGTGCGTGCCAAGGAAGCGCTGCTGACCAGCACACTCTCCCACTCTCCCAACGCATTACCTCTGTGGCTTGCCTGAGCTCCGCCGATCCAGGCACTGCAGCTTTGGATCTCCGTGCCCACCACCAGACCCTTGTGCAGCTCCAGTGTATCCTTGTCCTTCCAGGCTGATCTGCGGGTCCCTCTCTGGAAACAGGAGCACTAGCTCCAGGCTGACCCTCTCCCTCTGACGTGGGAGCAGATCTTTGTTCCCACCTGGCTTGCAAGTGCCTGCTGCTCCCAGAGCAGATGGTCACGAGCTTTGTGGTTTACTATGAAGGGAGGCAGCCGCTTGTACCGAGACAAATCCCGATCCATTCTCCTTTCCTGATGTACGCACCCCAAGACAAATGTCCTGCTGTTAAAGCCCGGGTGCGCCGGGCACGAAGGGACATCACCAGTGCTATGATGCATCTCTTCTCTAGTCCAAATCATTTCAGATCCTTGTAGAATAGCTAGTGACTTCAAACAGCTTTATGGCTTATGGAAACTTCCTGTTTGATGTTGGGTTTTTCTTCTGGGAAGACTGGCAGGTCAGTTCCTGCTTGCTGCTGAAAGTGGGGAAATGCAAGCAGCTTGCATTTCTGCGTGACTCCTGCACGAAGGGAATCAGGACAACTCCTCAGAGAGAGAAGAGAAATCTAAGGGCATTCATTAACTTTTTTTAAACAAAATTTAAAAAGAGAAAAAAAAAAAAAGGCGCTGATGTTCGGTCTCTGCAGTATTTATCATGTGTGAGAAGGAAAATAAACCTTGACTTTTCCTTTATAGGCCTTCCCGTGAGCTGGACTTTAGTCATGTAGATTGTGTCAGTAGGGTTACCTCCGTGCCAGCTGCCTAGCCGGCTCCAGCTGTAACCAGAAAGGTTTCTGCGCTGCTCTGTCCACCTCCGCTTCGCATTGTCACGTGTTCTCTAGTTCCTTGTCCCATGAAAAACAAAATAAACTGTGAATATTTTTGGTGCAGGCTTTTTTAAATCTGTCAAATGGAGACGTTCTCTTCAGTGCAGGTTTGAAAAACTCCCTTCTGTCAATGGTGCGCTCGCTGTAGGGTGAGGTTCGTGGCAGCAGGCTCTTCCCCAAAAGCTTGTCCTGAACAGTGAATGTGGATTGAACCATTGCATGGCATTTCAAACCCACAGCCTTACTCTTCACGTCTCACTGTACTCCACCGCTCTTCCCGTCTCCCTTCTTGCCTTTTCCATGAGCATCCAGGTTTTTGGCTTTTACTGCTTTTCAGCTACTGTCGGGAAGTTGATTTCAGCACAGCTGGGAGGCTGCTCAGTAAAACTGGCGTTTGGCAGCATCAGTGCAGGGGGAAGCCAGTGAGCTGCTTTTCCTTCCTCACCCTCATTGGGCCCCTGGGTGATGCTCGGTCAGATCAGGAGGGCTTTTCAGGTGCACCCAGGGCTTGCAAGAGGAGTAGTGGTGCTGGTAGGAATGGCTGGCTGTGCTGGGCCACCTCAACAGGACCGGCAGGGCCTGACCAGACATGGAGACAGGTCCCAGCCGCCCTGCCCTGCCCTGCCTGCCTTCAGCAGCAGGGAGCATGAGCCAAGGTACAGATCTGGGCAAGAAACCTCCCACAAAGGAAACTGGGGTTCTGCAGCACTTGAGGTGATTCATGCTGTTTGTGGCTCCTTGGAGGAGGAGAGGGCGATGTCTGTACTGAAGTAGTTGGGTTCATTTCTGCACTTTGCTGCCTTCAGAGTTGAGCCAGTTTGAATCATGGGGTTTTAAGGTAGAAGAACGCAGCAGATTCACACATACCCTGCAAACTGCTCCTGCAGGAGAGGAACTGCTGCAGCTCTGCTCCAGCCCCCCCGAGCCCTTGCCATGGGCTGGGCTGGCTTTGCTACAGCTCCATGAGCAAGGCCATGGTGGTTTTGTGCTGTGTTGGAGGGATCTGATTGATCACTTGGCCACTAACGATCAGCAGTAATCGCACCCGAGGTGTGTGAGGTGACCCTTGTGTTAATTCACAGCTGGGGAGAGTTATGGGAGCAGAATCAAGGGTGTCATTAGTTCTGCTCAGAGCTCTGTCCCTTTCCTTGCTGCCCCAAGAAGGCTCAAGGGAACTTCTCAGGCTCTTCAGCTCATCCATGCTTTAGGAGTGGCTCTGCTTTACCAGTTCTGAAGCGAAGGGTTTGCTCCAGTGGTCAACAGCCCTGCAGTCAGACATAGCCTGGCTGCCCCTGCTCTGAGCAGAGGGCTGGGTCCCTGGCTGTGGCTTCCATAACACAGCAGGACCCACAGCAGTGGTGGATTTCCATACTGGGCAGGAGATTCCCAGCTAACACTGGAGATGGAGGAGGGCCCCTGCCAGCCACAGGCAGAGTGCATCTAGGTGAATCTGGCAGAAAAGAGCCCACTGTAAGGGATCATCCCCTCGTGCACATCTTCAGATACCACCTAGCTCGTGGTAGCTCGCTTTATTGCTGTTCTCGAGTTCAAACTCTTCGTATTCAACAAAATAAACCTCACAAGAACCAGATTCACTTCAGTGCCCAAGGTATCTGGGTGGTACTGCGGGAGCAGGCACTGTAATTCACGGTCAAACCCCCTGCAGGCAGAGGCTTCGCTTTGAAAGTGGCTGTGGTTGAAACTCCAGAGCTGAGATGGTTGGATCTAAAGGACAGTAACTTATTAAGGTGAAATGATGTGGACTGAGGGTGCTAGAAGAGCTTCAGCTCAGTTTCACAGAATAAAAGGAAGCAAAAGCAGCCCTAACCCTGATGCTTCTCGGCAAAGGTTTAACCTGAACATGCTGTGGATGTGCACTGCTCCTCCCTGACACCATAGCCAGCAGTGGGACAAGGCAGGGGGAGTTTGTTTGAGAAACCTCAGACCTTCAACGCTTTCCATGTATTTTTAATTTCAGCCTTAACTTCTGATTTTGCTTGGTGTTTGGAATAACCATAATTGTAACCTGCTTGTAATGTGCTTTGCCCTAAATTACTGATGAGGCTCTTCAGCCTTTGCCAGCCAGTGAGTGTTAAAGCAAAGTGGCAAACCCTGCAGCTACTCTGAGAGTACACAGGGGGCCTGGGCTTTGTGCTGACCCCTACCCTGTGATAGCGGTAATGCTGGTGGCAGCGTTTGCAGCCAAGGCTGTGCCTCTTGCAGCAGCACGGCCAGGCTGACGGGTGCTCGGGGCTCAGGGTATGGGATGCTGGAGCCTGGGGACCACGCCACCGCTTGCCTGGGGGTGGCAGTGCCCTCGCTTAGCAGGAGCTGGGAAAAGGCAAGATTTCCACTCCAGGTGGAAGCCCCTATGGCACTGAATCTACCTCCTAGGGAAATCTGAGAAATGGGTGTTGCTATGGCCTATTTCAAGGTAAAGTTTTAATCAGTTTGCCCTTGGCGAAGCACTTGGGCTATTGTGGTGCTATTGTAAACCATCGGCAGCTCAGCGCGGTAGGGCTGAACTCGGCTCCAGGCCCACAGTGTGGAGGTTTCTTCACCGGTCGAATCCCATCCCAATAGCTGGGGCTGGGCTTCAGTGTATGTGATGGAAACAGGATGAGGCGTGACTCAGTTCCTTCCATGCAGGATGGTTTTGAGACTCAAACCAGTGTGCCAGTGGGCCCCGTGGGCAGAGGGAGCGAGTGGAGCCACGTGAAGCAAGGCAGGCATCTGCTAACTGCATGTTCTTTGTGTCCGTTTGGTACTGAGCTGGTTTCAGGTTTTTATTGGGTTTTGTTTTTTTTCCTTTCTGATGTTTCCAAGTTGTTGACTTCAAGGAACTGGGGTTTGTGGATTTGTTTTTAGACACTGGGAACTTGTTCTAAAGCAAAGCAGCAGCACCGGGAGGCTCAAGGTGGAGCGTGGCTGGTGCTGAGGCTGGGAGGAGGTCAGATGTGTTGGCAGGGAGCAGCTCTCCCTGTGATGGGCAGGAGAAGCCTTTCAGCAGGAGCTCTCCTGGCCCTGTCTAACCGCGGTGCCAGGCTCACCCCCCCCAGCCTGCTGGCCTGCAGACACCATCCGTGTCAGATACCGCGCCTGGCTCCGTGTCCCCGTCCAAGCTCCGGTGCCGTGTGGGTTCCTGGCAGCCGGCTACACTGGGGGCTTCCAGGGAACAGGGCCATGGTGGGGGGGGGGGTCTTTTGTAGCAGCAGCATAAGTTGTGCTGAGGCCATGAGCAGGATTGCTCAGAGTGGGGAGCCATGGTGTGACCAGCCCCACGCTGCGTTCCTCCCCTCGGAGGTGTGCTGCCCATGGGGTGGCAGCGGGAGGGATTTCACCTGCAGGGTTCCATCGGAGGGAAGGGCAGTGGGTGCTGAGGGGCCCAGCTTGAGGCAGGAGCCAGCCCTGGCTGGGACTCATTGGTCGGTTCTAAGCAAGGATGCCATAGTGGGCGAGACCTACATATTTCCAGCATGTGTGTTATTTTGGGAAGAGGGGAGAGTCTTGGACCATTGATTACTTTCATTTTGCTCCCCTTAGACTGGTGGCTGTGTATGTGAAACTTACAATGAAAAGAGGGTTGCCCTGCCCAGGTGCTCCCAGAACATGTACTGTAATTCTTTGTATATAGAAGAAAAATTACTGTAAAGTAAAGTTTAACTTTACTCTCGATGTCTTCTTGTGGTTTGTCTTGGTGAATATGGGGGGGTGGGGGGACCCCAGCAGGGATGGGAGAGCCCTGGCACTGGCTCAGACCACAATGCGTTTATTTACATCGTACATCTCGAGAGAAGACGCTTAAATAAATCTGCAAAGAATCAGGCAGCATCTCCAAGAGAATAAGTTAACAGCCACAGCCAGGCCCCAGCAGTGACTCGAGGAAGCGGCTCCTGCAGTTCCAGGTGGCAGGGAGAGGGTCCCCAGGGATGCCGGCTGCAGGTCCCAGCACCACAGCACAGCCTCCGCTGCTCAGAGCAGTCCATGTGGCTGCTGCCACGTTGCAGAGGGGCCCATAGAGCTAAAACACAGCAGGTAAAAAACCGGAGCCCAGCCAGCGCACACCGGGCGGCAGCAGTGGTTCCCTTCCGACAGGAGGTGTCAGTGGTGGCAGCAGCTGTAGAAGTAGGAACCGCTCCTCTGGCCCAGGTCGACCCCCTTGTCCTCTGGAAGAGAGCAGTGGCACATCCACACTATGCTGGAGCCTGAAAGCTGCCGGTCCTGGATCGGGGCCCTGGCAGGTCTCAACGGGAGCGGTTTGGTGCCCTGGCAGGGCTCAGGGCCACGGCACAACCCAGGGATGGAGGCGTCACTGCACTGAGCACGCTTGGACAGGCCTGGTGCAGAGCCGAGAGCCGCTCCCACAGCCCAGCAATGCTGACTGCCTGTTCACCAAAGGCCACTCATGGCTGTTAGGCAGACAGGCTGAACCTGGCCTGAGCACGGATCTGGATGCTACAATGGCACTCGAGCTCCATGGGACAACCCCCAGCATGGAGGCACAGTGGTGCCGGGGAGGATGAGGGCAAGGAAAGCCCCTGCCAGACCCACAGCACTAGTCCTTTGCCCCTTCCCCAGGGGCACATGCACCCCCTGATGTGGGAGAGGGTGCCCGGGGAGGGCTGGGTCCTGCCTGCTCACCTGTCATCACCTGAAAGGCGGTGAAGTGGATGTAGTCCTCAGCCACCTTCTGGAACAGCTCATCTGTGGGTAGAGCGGGCAGGGTGGGTGCGGGCAGCCCCTGGCCAGGCAGAGCCCAGGGTACAGCCGGCAGCAAGAGAACTCACCCACACTCTGTCCTGTCTTGCTGGAGGTCTCGAAAAGCTCAGCCTTGATCTCTGCAGCAAGGGCCCAGGTTAGCCCCTGCTGTAGGAGCAGGACACAGCCCCGCAGGCTCAATCCCCCCCAGAGTCACCCCTTGGGCACGATGGCTGGTGGCGGGCTGGCAGTAACCCAGGGCAGGGCTCCATGCTCCTGTCCCCTTGTCCCCTCGTCCCAGCTGGCCGCATGCCCGCCCGTGTCAGGACATGCCGTGCCCAGGGAGCTCCCTGATCTGCTGCGGATCCAGGGCAAGGGCAGAGCCCCCCGCACCTCCCAGCCGGAGGCAGCAGCTCCATTGCTCACCCGCTGCCCAGCCCCCGGCACTCCGGCCCCGCGCACAGCCCGGCCGTACCGTCAGCGTAGTCCTGCACATCGTGGAAGTCGACGCCCCGCTTCCTCCTGTCCTCCTCCAGCAGGTCGCTCTTGGTACCGCACAGGTAGATCCGGCAGCCCTGCGGCAGGCAGGGACACGGTCGTGGCACCGCCACCGGCTCCCGGCCCCTCGGTGATCCCCCCCCCCCCGGCCGTTACCTCCTCGCAGTTCTGCAGCTCGTTCACCCAGAACTTGGCGCGCTGGAAGCTGCCGCTGTCGGTGAGATCTGGGGGAGAGCGACAGGGGCTGCCCATCCCCTGCCGGTGCCGAGATCCCCAGCCCGGGACCTCCGCAGCCACCAGCTCCTCTCAGCCCTCAGCACCGTGCCCTTACCATAGCAGACGATGGCAGCCCGCGCCCCGCGGTAGTAGATGCGGCTCATGGCCTCGTACCGCTCCGAGCCGGCCGTGTCCTGGGGGCGATAGGGGAGCGATCAGCACGGAGGAGGAGACGGGACGGGACCTACGGGTCCCCGCAACAGCGGAGCAGCACCGGGGGTGGCCCCGGGAGTTACTCGGGGGTGCCGACACTGCCCGCGCTTACCCAGATCCCCAGGGTCACTGTCTGGTCCCCCACAGACATCACCTTGGCCACGAAGGCGGCCCCGATCGTCTGGAAGAGAAGCAGAGGAGCGGTGGGGAACGGCCCGGGGATACAGGGGAAGCGGCCCGGGGAGCACGGGGAACCCGACCCGGGGAGCGCGGCCGCAGGAGCCGCCACGCCGGGGCCACGCGGTGGGGACCGGAGGGGACGCGTTGGCGTGGAGCGCCCCGCGCGTGCCGGTGCTCACGTTCTGGTAGGGCCCGGGCCGGAAGCGGCGGTGCGCGCAGCGCTCCACCAGGCTGCTCTTGCCCACGCCCTCCTGCCCCAGCAGCACCACCTTCGCGTCCACCCGCCGCCCGCTCATCCTCGCGCCGCCGCCGCCGCGGGGCGGGGCCGGCACCGGGGCACGGCGGAAGCGGCGGGGCCGAGCTGGAAGTGGGGGGAGGCGGAAGTGCGCGGTGACGAGACCGGAAGTGCGCGACGGCGGCGGCGGCGGGGCGGGCGCAGGGCCGCATGGCGGCCGCCCAGCAGGCGCGGTGCGGAGCGGGCCCAGCGGCGCGGCCCTGAGCGGCGGAGGCCCATGGGGAAGTACTGCGCCAGCCTGAGCGTCCTCAAGGGGCCCTGGGACCAGGTCTTCGCCGCCTTCTGGCAGCGATACCCCAACCCCTACAGGTGCGCCGGGGACGGGCCCCCAGTGCTGCCCCGCCGCCCCCTGCACCCCTTCGCGGGTCCTCCGGGCTTCGTCCCCTCTTCCCAAAGCTCTTTCTCGCCCTATGGCGCAGGGCCGCTACCTGCGCCTCCCCGTTTGCCTGTGGGGTGCATGCCCCACACCAGGCGCAGTTGATCCCCCCTTAACACCGCAGCTCTTCTCCCTACCTTGCTGCGCCTGGTGGCTCCCAGGCAGCGGCATTCCTGGCTGCGAGCATGGGCTGATGTTTTCTTCCTCACGTTAGCAAACATGTCCTGACCGAAGACATCGTGCACCGGGAGGTGACGCCGGACCACAAGCTGCTCTCCCGGCGGCTCCTCACCAAGACCAACCGGATGCCGCGCTGGGCAGAGCGCTTCTTCCCAGCCAACGTCGCCCACTCCGTCTACATCCTGGAGGACTCTATCGTGGACCCCAAGAACCGAACCATGACCACGTTCACCTGGAACATCAACCACGCGCGTCTCATGGTGGGTGACCACCGGTGGGGTTCAGCCCGGTGGCAGGCACTGGGCAGTGCCCACAGCCGGTTGGGTCTCATGCAGGTGGTGGAGGAGCGCTGTGTGTACCAAGTGAACCCTGAGAACAGCAGCTGGACCGAGGTCAAGCGAGAAGCCTGGGTCTCCTCCAGCCTTTTTGGTGTCTCGCGGGCCATCCAGGTGAGCGCTACCCACTGCTCGAGCAAGCGCTGGGTACCCCCTCTTTGGAGAGTCCTTAAAGCTGCTGTTCCCCTGCTCTACCCCTTCCTTGTGCTGTTTTCTCCACCCTTTCCCCTCTCTTCCCCCATCCTTATAAGTTCTTGGGGCACCCAGAACCATTACTGCAGGTGGGCATGAGCCCACCAGATGTTTAGGACTGATCAAGCTGGAAAAAAGCCCCAGGGCTGTGTGTGACCAGAGAGCTGGGCCTGCAGTTCATTGACATTTCCCTTGCAGGAGTTTGGTCTGGCCAGGTTCAAAAGCAACGTGACCAAGAGCACTAAGGGATTTGAATATGTGCTAGCAAGAATGCAAGGTGAGCACTCACAGGCAGGTTGGTGCTGACCGGGATGGGTCTCTTGGTGTTCCAGATCACACCAGGAACACTCCAGTCCAAGGGCAGGTTGTGACTTGAACTAATCAGATGGTGAAATCCCTGTCCCTTGTCTTTGCCCCCGTGCCTTGGCACAGCCTGCTCTGAGCAGAGCAGCACTCGCAGGGCCAGGCAGGGGTGGAGCACAGGCAGGAGGGGACATAACATGGCAGCAGTCACGTGGCTGCAGTTCCCCTCCGCGACGTGCCCTGACGCACGCAGGTCAGGAGCCCTGGGCTCATCTTCCCTCCCGCATGGGGAAGAGGCCGTGGTGCTGGGGCTGGTCTAGCTTGCATCAGCCGGGGCAGGGCGGGAGCTGCTGGGGCTGGGTTAACAACCTCCCCTGTTACAGGAGAAGCTCCGGCCAATAAAACGCTGGTGGAGACAGCCAAGGAAGCGACTGAGAAAGCCAAGGAGACGGCTCTGGCTGCTACAGAGAAAGCCAAGGACCTGGCGAGCAAGGCAGCCACCAAGAAGAAACAGTACGTGTGAGGGGCTGCACCAGAGCAGATAGGAGCCTCCTTAGGTTTTGTACTTTCAAACAAACTGTACCAGTCTGACAATCAGCTGCTGTTAGAACCTTTCTGAGATGTAATTATCATTAAAGAATCAACTCCCATCTCGGATTTAGCTGGGGCTGGCCTAGCTAGAGTAGAACCCAGTGCTGCCTCCACTCTGGGGCTCCAGCTGCTGCGCTTACAGGCAAGACACAAGCAGTGGTTTCACCAAGTGCCTTTACTAGAATAGTGTGGGTATGTACAAGAGAGGAGGGTGATTGCAGGGCATGAAGGCAGGTTGCTTAATGCATTTGTTTCCCCATCCTGGCTCTCCAAGGATGGCAGAGTCCTCCCATAGCAGTGTCTGCTGGGGGCAGGGCTGCTTCACACCCTTGCCAGGAAGCCCCCAGCCCTCATGGGGGGGGGAGTGGGAGGGTGTCCCTGGCACAGCCAGGACCTCTTCCAGCCACTCTTGGGAGCGAACTGCGGTGCACAGCGGGTGTGCCACAGTGCTGCACCGGCCCCTTGCGCCCAGCACCATGGCCAGTGCCACTTAGCAGCTGGCTGTGGGGGCCAGACTGGGTGTCCCTTACCCAGGCAGCCATGAGGAGCCTGCATGTCCGGCAGCAGCAGGCAGGGGGGAGGCAGGCAGGCAGCGCAGAGAAGGCAGCAGGCGCCGTCAGGATGCGGGGATGCAGGGGCTGGAGTAGCTGTGGTCCCTCCCGGAGCCAAAGCTGGGCAGCAGGTCCCCGCTGAACGCCATGCCATCCACCTCTATCTCAACATCCTCTGGGTACCGCAGGAGGCCAGGGTCAGGCTCCCAGCGGCCTTCCCTTCCTTACCCACCCTCACTTCTCTCACTCACCTTCCTCGGATGCCTCTGAGAGCTGTGACGAGTCCAGGCTGTCAGCCCGTGCCCGTTCCCCACCAGTGGGTGAGAGCAACCATTCCAGACGTTGCTGCAGGTCCCGCTGCCGGTTACGCAGCCGGTCTTTGGCCTTCCGTGCCCTCAGCTCCTGCTCCTCCAGCCTCTGCGGGATGCAGTGAGCCGTGAGCACAGTTCAGACCTGGGCAGCCCTGTCACCACTCAGGGCCCTCCAGCCGAGGCCCCAGTCACAGGGCCCTAAGAAGCACCATGGCCATCCCGCTCACCTGAATGTGAAGCCGGGCCCGGTGGAGGAGGCTCAGTGTGGTGGGACGGGCCAGCCCTGCTCCCGCTGGCACCTGCTGCTTCAGCCGCTCCAGGCAGCACCGGAGCTGTGCTCTCCTGCGGCCAGAGTGGACGATAATGCACTGGTCAGCCCCACCAGAGGGAAGCATGGAGGCTGCCACGCAGTGCCCCGGTACAGCTCCCCCACGCCCTGGTACCTGTGCTTCTCCAGCGCGTTGTGCACCGACCTGCGGGAGAACCCCCGGGGATCAGTCCCGACTCCACCGGCCACCACCCCCCCCTTGTCCCCACCATCCCCGGCTCTCACCTGACACTGCCCACGGTGCGGCGGGACCGCGCGGGGCAGAGCGAGGCGTACCCGTGCTCGGCCTCGGCCAGCCCCGGCGGGGAGCGCGCTCCGGCCGCGCCGCGCTCCCGCCGCTCCAGGAACTCCGCCGCCTGCAGCAGGACCTGGATGCTGGTGGCCGCCGGCTCCATGGCGGGAGGGGGGGGGCAGCGGGCGCGGTGCTACGAGACGAGCGCTCATTGGCTGCTGGGCGCCCCGCGGAGCTGACGTCAGCCCGGCGGGGAAACAAATTCGGGCGGGAAAGCGGGTCCTTCAAATTTGAATCGGAGGGAGGGGCGGTGCGGGGTCACGCCCCCTGGAGCGAGGCCACGCCTCCTACTGTGTGACCACGCCCGGTTAGCGCTAGGCCACGCCCCCGAGGGAGCGCCCGCTCCCGCCCGTGTCCGGGGGTGAGGGTTGCCGGTGCGCGCTCACGCGTTATTGTCTACAGGGGCCAGACGGGGAGCGCGCCCGTCCGTGTGCACCCCCCTGACCCTCCCAGCCCACTCGGGCCACACCCGGCCCCGTGCCACCCACCCCGGGCACCTACAGGTGTCCCCGCACCGGCTGCACCCACCCCACCCCACGCATGGGAAGCACCCATCCGGCGCTTTATCTCTTTATTAAACCCATCAGGCAGAGGCGGTGGGGAGAGGAAGGGGAGCGCCCGAACCCGTGGGCGAGGGCCAGCCTCCGTCACAGCACGGCCTGGCACGGTCCCGTACAGCCCGGCCCGGCCCCGGGGCACCCGCTGTCATGTGAGGGTTGTTTGCGCCGTCTCAGGCCTGGCCCCGGGGTGGGGGAGGCTCTGCCCCGGGCCCAGCAGCAGCCAAAGTTCACCTGTAAAAAAACACACCACCACGAAGCACGTTTCCAGCCGGGGACAGGCGCTTGGCGGTGGCCGCGGTGCCTGGGGTGAGGCGGGCCTGCGCCCACCCCTGCCTGGGGTCCCGCTGCCGTGCACTGGGGCTCCTGCCGCCATGCCCACGGGGCAGTTGTGCGGTCTCGCAGCTGCCCAGCAGCCCCGGAGCAGCGCTTTCTCCCCGTCTGCATCGTCCTGCGGATGCAGATCTGGTCAGGGGGGGGTCTCACTGGCTCCGGGGCGCAGGCACGAGGTGCGCGGTGTAGCAGTGTGTGCACACACGCACGGGTTTGGGCTGGCCATAGTGTGGTAGCGCAGCGGTGTGTGGCGAGCAGCGGGCACAGAAGATCTGCAGGGAGAGAGCCAGAGTGGGGCTGAGCAGAGCTGGGCACCCGCAGGACCCTTGTGCCCCAGCCCTGCTCCTTCTTACCTTCCCGCAGCTGCGGCAGTGGTGCCGGCGGCGCAGCAGGGTGAAGGGCGAGCGGCAGGCAGAGCACTGGCTGCACGTGCTGTCCGGTACCCACTCAGGCCGGTGGTGGGTGCCTGCGGGGAAAACACATCCATGAAACCCCCGATCCCTGCCCCAGGGTCATTCCCAGCTCCCCTTGTTGGATCCACGCTCCCAAGCGTCCTGGAGCTGGCCCCGGGCAGGACACAGCAACTGTCCCTGTGTGCCCAGGACTGCCCAAGGCAGCTGCACCCTCTGCCAGGCAGGATGAGCCCCAGCCTCAGACCCTGCCCCACAGCCGCGAACCCCGTGCAGCCCTCACCTGCCCTCTGGAGACCAGCAGCTTCCGTGGGGCTGGAGCACAGGGGACAATCGGCCACGTGAGGAGCATCTGCTGCACACAGGTCACTGTCCTCTTTCTCTGCGGGGACAAGGGTTAGGGTGGTCCAGCCAAAGTAGGGCTGGGCACTGTGCCTGCAGCATCCCCATGCCCAGGGCTGCAGGCTGGTCTCACCAGGGATGGGCTATGGGCAGGGCAGAGAGGAGCCATCACTGTGCCTCCTGTCCCTGGGGTTACTCACGGCTGGCACTTGGCTCCTCCGAGGGCTCTGCCTGCGAGGCCACGATCTTGAAGACTGTTTTCAAGATGCTCCGCAGGTCGCTGGCAAAGTTGGTCTGGAGCTGATCGGCCACCCCTGCACCGGGAGAGGGGGGTCAGAGTGCTGGGAGAGGGCTCTGGGTGCAGGGGCTGGCTTGGAGGTCACTCACCCGAGATACAGACGAAGAGGGTGTGCAGCATGTCCTTGGTGCTGCTGTAGCGGGAGCGCAGCTCTGAGCAGTGGGGACCCGGGGTGGCACTGAGCCCCGTCCCTGCGGGCTGGGGGCTGCACAGAAGGAAGGTGATGGTTACCCCAGGGGTGGCGTGAAAAGTCCCCATCTCAGAGGGCAGGGATCGGCCACCTTGGCCCTGTTCCCTCCCACCAGACACCCTCCCCACCAGTCAGTGCCCGGGTTGTTCCCTGCACCAGGGGGTTCCAGCCACGTCGTGCAGGCAGGGGGTGATGGGGTGGCACTGGGGACATCCAGGAGACCCCAGGGAGCAGGAGGGTCTGCTCGGAGCACGGCTGCCCCCCAAGCTGAGGGGGTGGCCGGACTGCAGGGATCTTCCTGCTCGGCTGTGCACAGGCTCCTCTCCAGCAGGCAGAGCTCCTCCACCGACAGCACCCGCAGCAGGTCCCTGTGGTGAGGGGATGGCATCAGCCCCATGTCGCTGCCCCACTGCTGCCCCCTCATCACACCCCACCATGTACCTGATCTTCTTCAGGAGGTTATAGAAGGGGCTGAAGACCCGAGACATCTGCTCAGGGCTCTGCTCCAGGCTGAGAGGACCATCGGGGTAGATGAGGAGACCACTGCAAGGGGACAGAGCCCAGCTCGCATCAGGTGTTTGCCCAGGATCCCAACTTCCATGGGAAAGAAGGGACTGGTATAGGGCAGGGAGCACCCAACACCTCCTTCTCCAGGGGTCTGTACCCACCTGATAATGGCCAGGCGAGGAATGGTGAACATCAGCAGCGGTTCATAGCCGTCAATCATCTCCTGGGTCAGATAACCCAGGTGTAGGGCTCTGGGGGGGTCACACACTTACAGTGGGGCTGAGCCCAAGGACACAGCCCCATCCCCAGGGCTGAGGTCCCTTCCACCCCTGCCTGGCTCCGGGTGCCCCTCACCTCTCCACTGTCTCACAGAAGAGCACAATGATCTCTTGCTGCCTGTAGATCTCTTCAGGTGACTTCACCACCACCAGTGAGGACACGTAACTGGAGAGATGGGGGGACCATGAGGCTCCTGCAGCCCCAGCACAGCCCCCCCCCTCCCCAGCATCCCAACCCTGGCCCCCACCTCAACTCGAACTCTGCGAAGAGCCGGTCGAACTGCACGAGCACAGCGCGGACGGGCTCGGGGTAGGAGCCAGGCTGGCTCAGGCTCTGCTCCCGCAGCACTGCTCGCACCAGCTCCAGGCTGCACAGCAGGTTCCTGGCCTGGGGCCGCAGGTGGGCCCCGTCTGCCTCCTCCACCTCCAGGAAGGTGCCAGCCAGGAGACACTGCTGGGACCAGGGGCTGTCAGAAGCCCCTGCACCCAGGGTCTGCCCCTAGTGGCGTGCCCCATTCAGCCTGGGGGAGCTGGACGCCACCGCCTGCCCCAGGACAGCATCTCGGCGCTCACCTCAGCAGCAAAGAGCATGTGGTTCCCCAGGTTGTCCACCAAGAGCTCCTCGGGGAACTTGACCAGGTAGTCACGGCTGTGCCGCTGCGTGGGGATGCACTCCTGCATGATCCGCTCCAGCACGGACAGCAGGTGAGCCTGGGGAGAGCAGCGATGTCACCCGCAGCCACCCGTAGGGCCCAGGGTCACAGCGGGGCCCGGGCTGCTCCGTACCTGGCTGAGGTGGAGCTGGTTCAGGAGCACCAGGTACTGCTGCGGGTCCAGCTCCGCATCCAGCCCGTTGATCTCAGCCACCACCCGCGTTACCCTCTCATCGGCAAAGAAGAACTGGGAGAGCAGGCGGGGGTCGGAGCGCTACGGGGAGAGCAGAAGGGTGATAGTGGGAGCACCCCGCAGCTCCGGGTGCTGAGCCAGCCCCCATGCTCCCGGACTGGGTGGGGGCTGCCCCCCTGGGACAGCCTCAGGATCACTCGGGCAGGAACACGGGGCCCCGACAGCGGCTCCGTCTGCGCCGATCTGGAGCGGGGCCCTGGCCCAGCCCTCCCGGGGAGCGCCGCGGTCCCCACCCACCTGTACCTCAGTTTCCCCAGGGCAGAGCAGGATGAACAAGCTCGGCCGCATCCCGGCAGCGTGGGCACGGATCCGAGCGCGGCTGTAAACACCGGCTCGGGTGAAAGGTCCGCGGGGAGCCCGCTGGAGAGCGGGCAGGCCGGAGGGGCGCTCCTCGCCCCATCGCTCCCACAGACCCCCGAGGGGCCGCCGGGATGGACGGGACAGGGGGAAACCTCCTTGCTTTGGGAGCGGGCGGTGCCAGGACGGGCGTTGAGCTTCCCGGTCCTGCCCGCTGTCACCCGCACCCCCAAAGCACCCCCAGCCCCGGGGCCGGGCGCCGCTTCAGTGAGGGTCCCAGCCGCCGCCGCTCCCCTCCCGCCCCCCTTCCCAGCTCCCGGTGCCGGCGGAGCCCCCGGACAGCCCCGACCGGGAGCGGGTCGGCCCCGGCACGACCCCCCCAGTGCTCACCTTGGGCCGGCGGAGCCAGCGGCGCAGGGCGGCGGGCAGCATGGCGCGCTCCGCAGCTCTTGCCGCCGCCAGGCTCCCCGCGCCCGCCGCTCGCCGACGGGGCGGGCCGGCACCGGGCACCGCCCGGGGGCGGACCGGGGAGGTGTCCGCCCGGCACCGGGACGCCCCGGCGGACCGGCCCCCACCGCGCCCCGTCCTGCCCGCTGCGGGACCCGCGGCTTTCCCCCCGCCCGACGGGCCGGTTCCCCCGTACGACGGGCAGGGTTCTCTCATCGGCTGCTCCGGTCTCTGTTGCTGGCTCCGATTCCCAAGTGCAACCCTCGCTCTCTAGGGTCTCCTCAGTTCCCTGGATCTTCCCTCCAGGTTCCCCTGTCCCCTGCTCTCTGAGCCCCCGAGCCCACCCTTCCAGAGACCGGGACACCCCAGACATGCAGCCCCACAGCCCCGAGCATCCCCGCGCTGCTGGGGTCACCCGCAGGCATCTGCCTCCTCTCTGCTGTGTCTGTGTAGGGAGGGGTGTGCCGAGCAGGGTGCTTCAGTGAGGGGGGCAAAGCAGCCCCTTGGTAGGAGCAGAAAGGACCGAGTGGCCACGGAGGGGTCCCAAGAGATGCTCAGGATGCTGCGCAAAGCAAAATGCGATGGCTGTGCCACAGGAGGCTGCTCCAGTGCCGCAACAGTCCTGACACTGCTGCCCACAGGATGTGGGTGCTGATAATTCAGATGGCTGAAAGCCTAATGGGGTGGATTCACGGGTAAAATATCCGCCGAGGAGGATTGAATAAACACGGCGGCACCACCTTGGCTTGAGGAAGTCCCTGAGTCACGGCGGCCCTCCGGCACCCAGGGTGAGCCTGCTGTGGGTGCACAGCGCACCTGGAGCCCTGCCTGTCCCTGTGCTGTGGGCTGTGGTGCCACAGCGGTTTGGGGGGGCACAGTGGGCTTTCCTCAGCGGCCACATGTCCCCTTGTCTGTGCACTGTGCCCTGCTCCACCATCGGAGGGCAGCTCCTGTCCCAGGAGGCGCAGGATGGAGGCAGGCCCGGCCTCACACAGACCCCTGCCACGATGGGGGGTTTTGGGGTGATGCGTGGCCCCAAAGCTGGTAGGGAGGTGAGGGGTTGAGCTGGTTCCCAACACTTTTTGAGGTCCACCCTATGGACCTGTGATCAGGCAGCAGATGGAAATGGGGACAGTGGGCATGGTGCTGCGTGGCACTGCATGGGTGTATGATACTGCATAGGGAGAACCCTGCACTGGGATCAGGACAAAAGTGCACCATGCAGAGCTTGCCCTCCCTGGATGGGGTCATGCAATTCCATGGATGCCGTGGCACTGAGCACAGCCGGGAGCACGCAGGGTGCCATCGTTACATGGGGTGGGGTGCAGAGGAAACCCACATGTATGTGATGGGGTTTTCCTCCAGTGGGAAGGCTGGGGTAGTGTGCAGTGTGCTACTCATTCACACTGCACGAGGGGGACCAGTGTGACAGAACTGGAGTGCGGGAGAGCTGCAAACGCACATCAGTATGTGGGGCTGAGGATGCTGCAGTGCTGGGGTGGGCACCGATAGAGCTCTGTTACATGGGAACGTGGAGCAGAGAGGCTGGAACCCACACGTGCATTGTGGGGTACTGCAGCACGGGGAAAGCCGGGACAGCGGGTAGTGCGCAGCCCACCCTCAGTGGGATACCGCTGTGCCAGGAGGGGTACAGCGCAGCCGTGTGTGTGTGTGCCTGGGGTACCCCCGAAGGCACCGGCGCTCTTTAGGACCCGGGGGAGCGGTACGGGGGGGGAGCGGAGCCGCCACCACCCCAGCACCCCCGCTAGGGAGCGCGCTGCCGCCATCGCTGCCCTCTCGCAAGATGGCGGCCGCGGCTTCACCTCGCCGGGCCTCCCCCTCCCTCCTTCCCCCCGGGCAGGGGCCGGACGGGCCGCGCCGCCATATTGGCTGTTGTCCTGGCTGCGGCGGGCGGCGGGCCGCGCTCGCCATGACTCGCAGGCGGAATAAGGCGGCGGCAGCGGCGGCGGGTGTCGGCTCCGGGCCTCGCCGTGAGAGGCCGGGGGGTTCCGACGCCGGTCCTCCTCCCCCTCCTCCGCCACCGCCGCCTCCACCGGAACCGCCCGCCGTGCCTGAGGTGGTGGTGGCAGCGGCGGGCAGCAGCGGGGAGCCGGGCAGAGCCACCGCTCAGGTACCGGGTTGGGTCCTGCGGGGCTGTCTTGGAAGGGGGCTCAGGGGGAAAATGGGGCAGGATCCGGGGGTTGGGCCAGAGTGGAGCCCCTTCCACTCCCCCTCCCCGAGCCCTGCCCCATCCCTGCACGACCCCGTCCTCGGAGCATCCCTGAGGCACCGCCACCCTTGAGGCACTGGTGCCTCCCACCTCCCGCTTTTGGAGGGCCCTCGGGGGTGGGGGTGCCCCGGAGCCGCGCTGCCGGGGTGCACCTTTGGCGAGGGGGCAGGTTGAGGTGGGTGGGGAAGGTGGGAGGTGAAGCCCAAGCCGCTCTCCGGGGGGATTGGCTGCCTTGGGATGCGGGAGTCACTTTGTGCAGCATCCTGGGGCACGCGTGGGGCTGGGCTGGGGGTGCGGCAGGGCCTGACCTTGGTTGGGCTGGGCTGGGCGGTGGAGCTGGGTCGTGGCCATGGGTTATGGATGTATTGAGCTGCAGTGGGAGCTTGGGGTGCCTCTGGCAGATGGCTGGGGGGTGCTGGGGGCTCCCACTGGTGCTCATCTCTCCCGGCAGTTAGGGATAGCTGAGCTCAGACTTTCTTGGGGAGGGTGGATCAGCCAGGAAACCTGTGCCCCACCACTGCATGCTGCTCTCGCTGACATGACAGCAGCGATCTGCAGCATGGGCGCAAAGGGCTCTTCTGTGTGCCCCTTCCTCCGTCCCTGTGAGCCCCATGTGCGCTGGGGAGGGCAGAGCCCTGTGCTCGGGTGGTGCTTCAGGGGGTGTTCCCACCGCTCCTTCCTGCGGGAGGGTCCAGCCCTGCCCATGGCAGGTGGCGGAGCATCTGCCGAGCAGGCTGCGGTGCGGGGCTCTCCCGCACCTCTCGCTGCCCGCCTGCAGCTGCCTGCTCCGAGCCGGGGGTTGGGCCCCGGGCCCGGATGCGCTGGGCGGGTTGGGGACCGCCGCGCTCTCTCCCGCCGTGCGCTCTGTCCGCTCCCGCTGAGACACGGGGAGACCATGGGAACCCCCCCTCCGTGCGGGAGGGCGAAGGGAGCTGTGCCCCCCCTCTGCTCTGCTTGGCCTCTGACCTTTGCTTCACCTTGAGCCTGGGAGACGCCATCTGTTTCGCAGCAGCAGTTCAATGTGCAGCTCATTGTCGTGGGGCCCCGCCGCGGCGGCAGACAATGGGGGCCCCCTCGCCCGTGCCACGCCGGGCTCGTCACGGCTGTCAGGCCTCCGGCGAGCCCAAGAGCTCTGTCCCGGCTCCTGCTGCTGCCCAGTGCGGGGAGAGCACCGGGGGCTGCGCTCACCACCGTGCTGTGCGTCTGCACAGAACAAAGAGGCAGGAGGGAGGGCCTTGGGTAACACAGTGGGGGGTCTGTGATGGGTAAGGAGGGAGGGTTGTGGCTGGTGGACCCCTCTTGTAACCCTGTGTGGCGGTTTCTGTGTGTCTTGCTTTACTCTGAGAGGCGCCTCAGTCCCACTGTACCAGATGTGATGGTGGGAGTTGCTAGAGGCTTCCCAGCCTTGCTTGGTGGCGATGCTGGTACTTTAGCATAGTGTGATCTTCCCAGGGGTCCAGAATGCTCCAGGCTGGCACATGGCAGGCTGGCAGCAGCTGGGCAGCCCGAGGCTGCTCTCCTCCAGTGGGAGAAGGTGCAGTTCCACATGTAGCCTACAAGAAATTCTCTGGTTTGGTGTCAGCGTCCTGAGGTCTCATTTGCTGCCTCATCTGCCCTGCACCTGTGCCAACCTGCTGCCCCGCCATGCGGTGGATCATACCTGGGGTGAATCATGGTCTGTGTATCCTTCTCCAGGTGCTGCCCACCACTAACCAGTCAGTGCAGACGTGCTGCTTGCTCTGTCACCGGGAGCGCAAGGACTGGGGAGGGCCGTCCAACAATGGGCTGGTTTCTCCGGGCGAGAGGCTGCCACCGGACTTCGTGCCAACGCTTGTGCAGAACCTCCTGGGAGAGATGCCACTGTGGATCTGCCAGAGCTGCCGGAAGAGCGTGGAGGAGGAGGAGCGGCGGGCAGTGCAGGAGCAGGCCCTGGCGGTGAGCAGGCTTGGAAAGGGGGGGCTGTGGTGCAGACCACCCTATGGTGCTGGCAGGGTGTGCAGGTCCCCTCCTCCCTCAGACATCCCTGCACCATGCTGCGCTCCCTGGGGCTGCTGCTGCTGGCTCCTTGGGGAGAGCCTGCCATGGAGGCTTACCTGGCAGCCTGTGTTGGGTTGGAGCTGGCTGCCTGGAGAGGTGCTTCTCTGCCAGCCCTGCTCCAATGTGTGTTGTGCTGGGTGCCTCTGATCCCAAAGCTGTCTCCCTGGAGTGGCAGCATGTGCCAGAGCAAATGCCTGCCCGTGCATGCATGGAGCTCAGGGGAAGAGAAGCTTCCTCCTGCTCGATTTTGTTTAACCCTGGTGTGGTTTGAGGGGGGACAGAGCAGGTGTGTGGCCCTTGGCACAGCATGGCTGTGCTGGTGAGGGCCCTGGGAACCAGGCTGTGTTGCTGTTGGGCAGATGGGCAGTTTGCCACCCCAAGACAGTGACAGAAGCAGTTCTTGCGTGCTGAGCCCCTGCCTTCAGGCACCAGGGGGGATCTCGGTGCCGATGCCCTGGGCCAAGGGCTTCCCCTCCCAGTCCACTGCTGCTTCACTCTTTGTTTTCCTTGCCAGGTCTCGTTATCCCACACATCCTGCAAGTCACAGTCTTGTGGGGGTGGCTCCCACTCCTCTTCCTCCTCCTCCTCCTCTTCTTCCTCCTCGTGCCACGGGAACTCAGGGGACTGGGACCCCAGCTCTTTCTTGTCTGCTCACAAGCTCTCGGGCCTCTGGAACTCACAGCACACCAACGGGGCCGTGCAGGGCAGCCCCCTCGGGGTCCCCCCTGCTGCACTAGGTGAGTTGAAGCCAGCCGTGGGGTTGAGCAGAGCTTTCTGCC